CTACAGAGAAGAAGTGACAGACCTTTTTCCCGTGAGACGCTCCCATGATCGCGGTGACGGGCTCACTCCTCTCTCTCACTCTCGCACCCCTCTCTCTTTCTGGCTCGCCCACTTTCTGGCAGCCAGAAGTTTTGTTCCTCGTCTTCCTCCTCCCTCCCTGGCATGGGTCAACGTGCCGGCCGATGAGTAAGAGGAGGGTGAGCAGGAAAAAGGGGAGGCCACCTGTCCCCATCCTGACTTTCTGCTCCTGCCGTCCTGTGAAGGGATTAAAGTTAAAGTGGTTTAAGTAATCTGATTACCGACAATACCAATGAGGTAATAGATTACATGATAGCAAATGAGTGACCATGTCACACTCAAATCGCCGCAGTTGGGGGGTTTCTGTGCTATCGGAAGGTCTTGTGACTCGTGAGGATGTTTTATTCCCGCATTCGGCTCAAAGTTTCCCCACAATACGTTACCATGTTCACAATGAAAGGATGAAATCCCATGATGCATTGCATCCATACAGAAAAATGACTTTCCCCTTCCAGGTATTGTTTGATGTCCCGCATGAGACTAATTGATAAGCTCTGGTCCAGCACCCCAGCGGCAGCAGATTTTGGCATGTGCGACATGTGTGGCCACGCAGTCACCCGAGAGTCGGGCGCGGGTTGCTGGTATTAACCCACAGCAACCCCTGCCACAAAGCCAAAACCAACCCAGTGCTCAAGCAATACGAAACTAAACCTACTGAAGGTCAGTGGTGGCTTGTTTATTTGAATCAGTGAATCAGGAGCAGAAACATTTCTGTACAATCATAGTTTCTATTTTGGCGTTAAGAAATGCTACTGTCGCGTTGTTTATCACCCAGACATTATAAATTTGAAGAAAATAGGATTTTGCTTGAGTTATGGGAATCTAATGTGCAAGAGCCGATCATGCCGCAAAGGAGGTTTGAAGCTTGTTTTTGTGTTGGCACTGTTGCATTTAAGCCACACGTGCATGCACAAATGCATTTGTTTTGTCGGCCTTCTCCAGGTCCGTAAAACACATGTAGACTGGTTGGGTGAACCACCAAACAAACTCGAGCTGGTCCACTGTGCCACAGCCAGGATGAAAACCACCCCGCTCCTCCTGAATCTGGGTTTCGACTTCCCAACAGATTCTCACGTGTCGACCTGAGACCACCGGGATGCTGACGAGTGTGATTCCCCCTGTACTTGGAACGCACAGCCTGGTCTCACTTCTTAAAAACGGGAACCGCCACCTGGTCTGCAAAGTCTTTGCAAAGTTGCAGAGGCATGTCAATCAGGGCAACGCCACAACTTGAGAACCACACACACCTAAATTGTTCTGTGTACTAGAGGGTGACACGGAAGTGGATTTTCACGCCTGTCCCATTGGCCTCCCAGAGAAAAAAAAATCCCATCCTGTCCCTGTCCCGGACTACGGTTAAAAAAATGCTACTTATCAGACCGTCTAGGCCTTTGATGGTCCACAGTTTATTGTTGAAGTCAGCAGATGTGAGTGAAAAAACTCAAGACAAGGACTGGAGGAAAATGAATGTTCAAATCAAGAGTTTATTTTAACCTTGATGGAATTGGAACATTTGACATTTGTCTGGATCCAGGTAACTTCATTGCTTCGGCTGCTGCAGCTGTTCCAGGATTTTCCTGGAAACACGTCAGAAAACATCGGCATCAAGAAAAGCAGCAAAACAAATATGAAGACCTTATCAAGACAGAAATAAAATATATAAAAAACAAAATCAGGACAGGGAAATCCTCAAGGCAAGATAAAAATGAAGACAAACATCAAGACAAGACAAAGGTTAAGGCCAACGTCAAGAAGCGAGAAACTAAGGATATCTTGACAAAGAAGAAGAGCAACATCAAGTGAAACGCCAAGTCAAACACATTAGGACAAAGATGATGGGAAGGATTTGTCCATGTCTCTTACTGCTTGAGAAGGAACTCTTGGTACTCCTCGCGTGCCTCAGCTCTGTCTTCAAGGGTCTCAAGGGCTGCCTGATTCACATTAGCCACCCCCAACTGAGTCCCCTGGCCCAGATGCTCATCAGCGTCTAGACCGTCACCGTTGTAAGGACCATCTGAGAATTCCTGCTCTGGGAGCTCCCATGAAAGCGCTTCTACTTGGCTGGCGAGCAGAATTGAGCCATTCTGGTAAGGCGCGTAGACCTGGTTGATGGCTTCATTTACACTGCAGCAAAACATAGCACACCACACACCTCAATTATGGGTCCAAATATTAGAAACTGCTGAAGATGAGCGGCCACACAGGCGTAGATAATGAAGAGTGCAGGTTATACACAATCAATCCGAGCTATTGCAGAGACGCTGGATATCCATCCATTGGTTTTCTAATCTGCTTATTCTCACAAGGGTCGCGAGCATGCTGGAGCCTATCTCAGCTGTTTCGGGCAGCAGGGGGGGCTACACCCTGAACTGGTTGCCAGCCAATCGCAGGGCAAGAAACAACCATTCGCGCTCACACTCACACCTAGGGACAATTTAGAGTGTTCCTTTAACCTGCCGCGCATGCTTTTGGAATGTGGGAGGAAACCGGAGTACCCGGAGAAAACCCACGCAGGCACGGGGAAAACATGCAAACTCCACACAGGGAGGCCGGAGCCGGAATCGAACCCTGCACCTCTGCACTGTGAGGGCGACGTGCTAACCAATCGACCACCATGTCGCCTGTACCGTGTGTGTACATGTACATATATAATTGTACACATTGATTGCGAGTTTTATTTTGCCTCACCTGTCTATTTTCACTTGTGTGTCAGGCAGCACGACAGAATCTAAACACAACGGTATTAAACACACACAGACAATAGGAATTAATTTATAGAAATGATGCAGCAATAGAAATAAAAGTACCATGATTACACGTATGCAATTGTAGTGTACTGTAGTGATGTTTGCATCGAGGCTCACCTGCTGCGTGAAGGACAAGGAAGGCGAGCATCACACCTGAAGGACACAAACAGGAATGAGCAAGAAAGCAACAGGAATGAACATCACAACGTCGTCTGTTAGTCGTTTGCCGTTGCTCACCATTGACGAGGATGAAGGCCATTGTCCTCTGTCTTCTTGTTGGCGTCCCAACCGTGTTGTCGTTCGTCTTCCTCGGTGGCGGTCTTCCTTCGTCTTTATAGTCTCCTCCGAGTCTCCCTTAAGACACCACCAGCTGTTTAATTTTCCTCTTTGAACACCTACGCACATGTGCGTGAAGTCGTCATCCAGTCAAACAACGCTTGCCTGGAGCTGCATGACTCAACTCACTTGGTGTCCCCTGCCCCCCCCCCCCCTCGCGCCCCCCTTTGGACTCATCTAGACAGCCCCTGGCTCTGGGTTGGGAATGCCCACCCCTCATTTGGATGGTTCCAGAATCAAAGTGGCACCAGGTCGAGCAAGAGGTTTTGATGCCCCCTGAAAAAAATATTGTCAACAAGGAGGGGTGATGGGGTTGTGGGATTAATTTTCAACTAACTTTCTGCCCATCGATGACAGTTGAACGCCCCTTCAGAATGGCTCGATACAACATCGTCGCCGAACACGTCCAGGATTCGTTTAATCGACGGGAAACGTGGAGGATGCGTGGAAGCCTCAGGTGGATGCCCGGGGCCCCCCAACCTGTTGGCCCCGCCCTGTGCATGCAATGGATGCTGCTGCAGGTTGTTTGAGGGGAACAAAGTGTTTGCCTTGAACCAATTCAACACTTCCCCATATACATTCAACAAAGGAGCCGTCAAGACCAACAAAGTCCAAAGACATGTTATCCTCCTTTATCTCCTCTTTTCATGCCGAGGATCTTGTTGGATTTTGTTTTAAACATGAGCATGGATGAATGAATGATCATGACCTTCTTGCTCAATCGTCAAGATTGTGACTCGGTGACATGGATGTGCGCTCTCGTGGAAAATGTTCATATTTTATATTGCACAACTGCTTTCGACGTTGCACATTGTACCCTGAACATAAGCCTGACTCTTTTTCCCCAGCAAGAAGAGTTATGTTCTGTTTCGTCAAAACATAGTGCTCTGCTGCTCAATATTGCGTTGGCGGAATAAGAATGAGGCAGAATAATTTGTCCATTTAAAGGTGCCCCAATGTCAGACAGACCGCTGAGTGCAATGGGTTTCATCATTCGATTATGTGTACGGCATTGCTGACGTGGGAAACACGCAGGGGGCATCGGTTGAGGAAAAGCATCCCATATGAACTTCTTGATGCGAGAGACCCGCCAAAAGAAAACCAGATGGGCTCACGGCTGCAGAAGTAAACATGTGGACAAAATTGTTGGAGGCGGCTTCCCTCTCTGACAGAAAAAAAATGTATTAAAATCACTCGTGACACTTTTTTGCGGTGTTGCGGTGGGGTTGCCACTTAGTCCCGGTATTGGAAGTTGGGTGTGTTGTACAGCACCAAGCGCCAGAATCATTATTTTGTCCACCATTTTTCACCGCACGACCTCCAATGGACACTGTGTGTGTGTGTGTGTGTGTGTGTGTTTTGTGCGCAAGAGTAAGTACATTCAACACCAGTTGACTGTCGTGATGCATGTGTGGGACAGTTCAAATTTCCCAATTCGAGCAAACGGGCAAAAAAATAAATAAAAGCAAATTTTCTTGTCCTCACCCCCACACCCATTGACTAAAATGCGCCATCCGACATATACAGTATACGCAACTATCTATGCAAACTGTCGTGGTCATGTTTACATTGCGCATGTAAAGTTAGCCAGAAGGCGGCTTTGTGCTCTTTTGCATGCGAACACGAACGTATTACATGTGACGCACAGACTGTCGTTGGATCACACGCCGTACACGTCATGTTTTCACAAGAGCCAGCAATCAACCCATTAATCCATCAGTCCTCAAGTAACTGATTACAGTGAGAACACAGTACAAAGGAAAAAAAGAGAGGAAGATCGACAATTTCACTGTGTAGATAGCAAAAAGAGAAGGAATGGGAAGGAAGAAAGCAAGATGCTTGTGGGCTGTGTTGGTACACGAACTCTTTTATTAGGCTGGGGACAAACACCAAGAATAAAAGAGAGCACAGATCATTTGGAGGCTGCTCAAACTTTTCTAGCGTCTATAAATAGATCAAGTATTCACGTGGCAGCCCGCAGGCAGGAAGTGATGACCACTTGCATGCCGGAGTCACGTGTGTGTGTCTGTGTGTGTGTATGTGTGTGTGTGTTTAGCTGACAACGCTGTCGTCTTTCCTCGGTTTTGTCTTCTAATGCTGCTCCTGCTGTGGCTGCTGCTGGTGGTGGTGGTGGTCCGGGGCGGACTCGGGCCCATCCTGGCCGGGTGCCGACATCTGCATGAAGAGCTCCCTCAGCTCCGCCATGTCGTCATCCAGTGACGGCAGCGGTCGCCCACCGGGGTTCTGCTCGCGCTCTTCGATGAAGTCCCACAAGCGCACGCTGTTCATAAACTGCCGTGAAAAAGCACACCAGACGTGAGGTCGTCACGAGAATGACAGCGATCGTGATGGCGGCGGCGGTAGTGGGCGCTGACCCGGATGTTCCCCTCCGAGCTTAGCTGCTTGCGCGGCTTCTCCGGCTCCGCTCGGCTTCCGTCCGGGAAGGCGTGGAGGTACAAGCACTTTCCTCCAAAGGGACACGAGCCACGGCCCTGGTCGAAGTACTTGCACGCCTTCTTGCTGCGCGCACAAAGAAGACCGCTAGTAGCCAGAACACGGTGCGGGCCAGCCGGCCGGCCGGCAGACTCTCTCTCCTGCTCACCTCACTCCAGACTTGAAGAGTTCAATGAGGTTGTCCTTCTCCTCTTGTTCCTCCACCCAGTACACTGACGGGATGACAAACTCGGACACCACGCGGCACTCCGGACATGACCTGACAGGAGATAAATCAACCTCCTTGTCACACCTTTTTTTTTTTATCATCATAAATTTTGGAACTTGTTGGGGAACTTTTTCCTCACACTTTGATGTGCTTCGTCAGCCTGTTTCTAATGGATCTGCATTTATTTTTCTCTCTCTTAACTCAATCAGTCGAGATAGATTGCTAGCCCACATTGAGTCTTAGGTCTGCTCTAGGTTTTTTTTCCAAGATGAAGGTTTTCCTTGCCCCCGGAGCAAAAACACATCACTGTTTGCATCATGAGACATGCATTTCCCATGATGTCACATGACAAATTATAACACGTGTGACAAGATGTGACGCAACGCCAGCCGGGCCTCACTTGATGATCTTGTTGCTGAAGTTGCGCTTGCATCTCCACTGTCGGATGCAGCCCAGGCAGAAGATGTGACGGCATGAGGACAAGATCCCAAAGCGGCGCTCCGAGGGGATGGCCTTCTGCACCACCACCTCCATGCAGATGGAACACACCTCCAAACAAAAATATGGGAGAGTAAAAAAAAAAAAAAATCATCATCAGGCTCAAGATGCCACCTTGGGACAAAGTGGGTTAGACTGCAAAATAACTGGAACCTATTTGAAAGAGTGCTAGACTGACCAATGAAAAACTTATTGGATCAACCAAAAACTTTCTAACCTGTCAGGAGACTCGAGGGAACATTAACTTGAAACTTTTAAGTGGAGGATGTCAAACATGCACTCAGATTGGACAGGCCAAGATCACAAATGCCTGTTAGATGAGCGTTTACAAGCGCACGAGACGGAGCAATACCTTGTCTTGGCTCAGCTGCGCAGCAAAGGCTTTCTCCATGTCCCTCTCGAAGGCCAGCAAGCACATCTGTGGGCAGAGCAGAGCAACATCATGACAACCCTGCCCCCGCACTCCAGTGGCGACATCACCGCACCGGCGTCACCTTTTCGTGGGCCCGCCGCTGCTCGGCGTCATGTGGGTGCAGCACACGCAGCCGGCACACCTCACACTGGTCGCCATGGAGATATGGGCAGCGATCCTCGTAGAAGCAGCGTCCGGCGGCGGCGTACGGGCAAAGTTGGGAAAAGTCCTGATAGGCTCCGCCCATCTGGGGAGCAGCTACACTCGCCCACCAGTGACACCCACGCGTTAGTAGTCACAATTTGAGCATTGGCGTGTCGGGCAGGAGCCTCAGCAGGGTCGGCATCCCACCTTGTTCTGGCGCCGAGGCTTCCAGGCCCGTCCTGATGGCGTCCACATACGAGTGAGGAGACACGGCGGGAACCTCAGAACCCAGGCTGACTGCCGCACCTCCAAACACGCTCTCAAGCTGCCCCACTGAGTCGCACACGTACACACACACACAGACACATGAATGAGGTATTGTTGATTTTCCTTCAATCTTGTCATGTGCATATATCCTCATCATCATGTTATTGTGTCGTCATCAGGAATGGATTGAGTAACGGATTGATGGTTATCATGGTTTGAAAAAGTCAAGATTTCGATAACTGCTAATATTTATGGCCACCAGTAATGAGGTGCTTGCAGAGTTGAGTAAACACTTTTGTGAATTGGGGCCAGTGGCTTTTTTTTTTTTTTTTTTTTTTTTTACTTCTCAGCGAGCAGAGAGGAGTGAGTAATTACGCACAGCGGGGGAGTCAGGGAGTAACACAAAAAGACACTGCAACACAGATGTCTTTTTGCTTTGTTGGTGATGTGCACTTTCTTTAAAAAAAAGTTGGTACCAGCAGGTACTAGTTAGCCCCAAGGACAACGAAAGTAGCCCACAGTCTGTTTTAAAAAGAGCTCACCAGTGTCGGGACACTGTGAATTACAAAGAGGAATTAAACCGGAAGAAAAAAGTTTTTGAATGTACTAATTCTTCTGTATTTTGTTGAAAAATAAAATAGAATGTGTTCAATGGGGGGGGGGGGACAATGTTTTGATTGACCCAAATATTTTTTTAAAAGGGCATTTTACAGCTGTAATTTTAAAACTGTGATACAGCAATACTTTGTCAGATTTTCAGAATTGAATCTCGTCCCATGCCTAGTGGTCGTGTGTGTGTGTGTGTGTGTGTGTGTGTGTGTGTGTGTGTGTGTGTGTGTGTGTGTGTGTGTCCTTGTTGACCTTGGGTGTCTCTCATTGACTTTCTGGCATCAGGTCTGACTGAAGCTCCGCCTCCCGGAGCCACCTTATTCTCTGAAGCTCCGCCACCTCCTCTGTAGGACAGTTTGATGTGGTCGTACCTGCAAAATTCATCGTCAGTTCAAAACTCGTCCACACGCCATTCAGAAAAGATAACTATCTTGACAATGGTACATTAAGCCTCGTCTTAAGTATTCTGAGATACAATCATTTGAGCAATTTTTGGGGGTATCGCAACAACTGAGATACGGCCGACACTTTAAGTACACTTGTTTTGTGTTCTTGTTGCTGTGTGTTTTCATACAATCAGATACTCCCTTGAGGTGATGTTCATCTAATTAAAAAAACATGTTCAACGAAAGTTGTGGTTTGCGAGGAGGTGACCTGCATCGTTCTCCGTAGGCGCACACTCCTCTCTGGTAGAACTTGCAGATGGTGGAAGGCTTGCTGCTGGACGGGTCGTGAGAGAACATGCAGCGGCTGCCCTCCCGGCACACGCCATGCAGGAAGTACCTGTGGCGCAAAAACATCATCAAATGAGAAGTCGCACATTTGTTGGATACATCAGCGGTTCGAATCCAAAACTGGGCATATATTCCTGGGTATGTTGTGCAAAAAATAAATAAAAACAAAATACAATGACTTGCAAATCTTTATCAACCTACATTGAATTGAATACACTACAAAGACAAGCTGTTTAATGTTAATGATGATAAATGTTCTTTGATATGCCAATATTGACTCAAACAATCACGTTCATCATTTTGAACATAAAATACAATACATCTTTCACAACAGCTGCAGCTGTAACAAAGCGCTTGACAGACAATTGAAGGTAAAACAACAAAAATAATACAACAGAACACAAATCATAAAAAATGGACAGGAAAACAATCGTAACATCTATTCCTCCATACGCCGTGTTGTTTGAAGCAGTTGTAGATGAAAGAAGAGATCATCAAAGTCACGTTTCACCAATGGATCAGAGACGCCGTGATCACAGCGTCCATTACGTCACACACATCTGCTACAAGACGCGGTAGCGTCCATTGACGAATGAAGGGATCGGTTCAATTCTTCTGTCCCACCTAGATCCGCTTCAATTTCAAGCACAGACACTCGGTTCCAAGTGCACATCCCTGCTCCGCGCAGACACTCTTCTCTCCTCATCCTCAGCACTACCAGCCATCCATCTAGCCGCACCAATGAAGAACGTCCAACAGCGCTGACATCCCCGCTCAATCAAAATGAGACCGAAAAATGCAGCCCATTACAGGCGCAAAAAACACAAGTGCCCTGGGGCTGTCAGGGGGCGACAGTAAAATAGCGCCGACATTCCCTCCCATCAAAATCAGTGCTGGTACACATGCTGCTGAAAGGCGCGAGCATCAAGCACAGATTTTTCTCCTTCGACGAACGTCGCAGTCAAAACATTGAGAACAGTCCACAACGGGTCCATACTAAGGACAGCAAACACCACATGACAAAACAAATGACGAAAAACAAGAACAAAAAGCAGAGCTCTTGAAGAGCCCTCGAAGATGGCAAAAGGCACTTTCAAATCATTTGGATTCTTTTATTTACATTTTTCACAACGTCCCATTTTTTCCCACAAATTCCAAATTGGGATTTGTCATTCAATGTAGTAGGCTGAGTTATCAAAATGAAACAGATATTCCTAAAGTTGTAATATTAAAAGAAAGAAAATGAATCAGTGAAATTGAACAATGAACTTATGGTAGCTAGACAGACACTGTTTTCATGCTGTAAAATTAATAATACTGTTGAATTTGTAGACTCCTATATTACTTTGTCTATTTGACATTTAGTTGCTGTTTGAAAAGCAAATCAGAAGTTACTTACCAGTACTTCGCACCCGAGTAGTTTATTTCACTGAATACCTGTATTTGCTTGGAAAACTCAAGTCATTATTTTGATGACTATTTAGACTTTTATCATTCGAAAGTAACAGTCACCTTCACGTTTTCTGTCTACAGCATATTTGTGTGACCCAAGTTGGGTCATTGCTGTTTGGAAGATGGATGTTTGGCGCATGTTAGTGACGTCGGTGAACATTCGAAAATTTGAATTAGCATTACATTGCGCGGATTATTATTTGATGTTAAAAAATTGGACGATATTCGAATAAATGGGGATTTGCCGACAGCCAGGACGAGGATTTGTTGAGTGTGTACGAACAATGTAGCCTGAGAAGGCTCGAGAAGGGAACCGCTAAAAACATTAGCATGAGGCTAAAACAGACAATCACACACACACACGCAGACGCAGACAGACAAACGGGAAGGCAACAGCCTAATAGACATGCGGTCGGTTGCTCGGATTTACCGGCAGGTGACCTGTTTGGTGCTCATCTTCTCCGCGGAACTTCCAAATGTTTGCTAAGGCTAGCTCCGTTACGCTAGCTAGCTAGCACCCACTTGTGTGCCCGTTTGACTGACAGCGGCGTTCGGCACAAACACGTCCGGCCAGCAATGACGTTTCGGCGCCTCAAAAGCTTTCCGGGCGGAATTGAAAAAAAAAAAAAGTATTTTCTACTTGACGAGCAGTCAAATCAATCATTTGTTTGTACACTGTAATGTACAAACTGTTTGTGTCTTGTGTTTGTCAACATGTGCTCAGGGAACAAATTATTTTTTTAAAAAACGAAGAAATCACAATTTGTAATGTTTTGAAAACATTATTCATTGTAACAAATAATACAAGGTTTTATTATGTTGGTCATTATTTATTATATGTTTAAATGACAAATATGTAATTGTATTGCGGTAAAATTACGTTGAATATAATTAATTAGCCATTATTTAATCAATTATATTTTCATTGAGTTGAATGTACTGTATACAAGAAATATCAAACGTATTTTCTTACATTTGGTAACAATACATTTATAAATGTTAAGGCATTATATTTATCAAATAAAATAATTATTTGAATAAATTGAACAAAATGGAATTAACATTTTTCTTGTATAAATTGAAATGAATTTAATTATAATTCTTAGACAGAATATTTTATAGGAAAAATTACAATTTCAAACATTGTTTGAATCTATATAAAAGGTAGTTTCTTTTACGATCATTTTCATTTTATGCTATTGAGATAAATGGGTTTTATTGAATTCATTATGAATTACTAAACACGTTTTCACCAATCAATTTCAAAAAAAAATGCAAAATTAATCCAATAAATATGATAGGAGTCTTAATCCTCGGTGGGGTGAATTTATTAAAGAACAGAGCATATGTGTTCTATTCTGTATGACTAGCATATATAGTAAACGTGAAATTGTATTTACCGTTATTCTGATGTAATTTGTGTTTATATGAGGAAATGTTAATTTTACTCTGAGTGCACATTTAAAGAAACAAAAACGATTATTATTATTATTATTAAGAAATAAAAATTAGACGACTCATTTTTCCAGGCACCTGTTCCACTTCCGGTCTAGCCGCGGGTCCGGAGTCCGGACTAGTAGGAGGGCGTGTTCATGGAACTTGGCGACCTGCTACGGTTTTCTCACTGCGGGCGGACCGTGTTCACAATGGCCGACGCGGCTCCGGCGCCAGCCGGCCTGTTGCGGTGCCCCGAGTGCGGCCTGGCGCCGAGCTTCTCACTCGTGGAGGCACCGGTGCGAGTCCGCTCGCCGGTTGTGGACGGACACCGCACCAGCTGCTGCTTCCTGGTCACGTCACGGCACGGCTTGGACGGCCTCAGGTAAAGCATCAGCAACAACAACGTTTTTCTGTATATAATGGTTGTCATAGCGACCACACACCTTCATTTCTTGTGTATCTTCAGTGAAGAAACAGATTGTGAGCTTCATGTGGGCATCTCCAACTCTCAAGGTAACACACTCGCACAACACTTGCATGGAGTCCATAAATCGTAGTAAATGTGTGCATTTTAACTCATATCATCTTGAATGACAGTCAACTCAAAGCTCCAAAACTTCCAAAGTTTGCTTCCAATGTTACCTCCAACGTTAGGGCTCAACATTCGTTTCATCACCATCATGGCTTTAACGTTAGCTTCTAACTTGAATTCCAATGTAGCAGGAATGGCTGGCGAGCGATGCCATTCAGAGGTGGGCCTTGGCTAGGGTGATCAGATTTTCAAAATTAAAAATCAGGACACTACAATGACACTGAAAATCAAATATACAATACATTCTCACCAGGAACTCTTTACACCACCGTTGTCAAAGTCCGGCATCTCCTAGATCTCTCCCCTCCTCCAACACCTGATTGAAATGATCAGTTCATCAGCAAGCTATGCAGGAGATTGATAACAATCCTGATCACAAACAACTTGGTGGGCGGGCCCGGCCCTCAATGGCCCGCCTGTGGCGACAGCGTCTCCCAATAGCCTGAACGGTGCCTGCAGACCACAACAGCTGAACTGTTATCTTCCATTTGGACATTTAAATCCAAGTCTCTTCACTACAATATTAAAATTATCAATCATTTTTGACATGATAAAAGCCTAAAAACAATCAAATTCAGCGTTCTCGCCAGAGATACCAATTATTTCTAAACACACGGCATCCTATTTTGGTGGCTGTGTTGATAATAGTCAGAGCTAGCTATGTAGCAATTGTCTCTCTGGAAGCGGCAAATAAATCTTTGTTTTATTGCTCTGACCTTCTCTAGCTGGACACGCTGCACTTTTTCTCTTTGCACACTTTGACCAGTTTAAACCAGATAAGACCATAGAATCACACATAGGAAAACAGCAGCACATTGTTTATATATGTCATCCCCTGTGTGGGTGTGACTAAGATAATATATAAAGTGAACAAGGAATTCTTTTTCACCTGTTAGACCACCTTCTTCATCTGTCTGCCTGGTGCAGCTCTGCAGCCGTGTGTCCATCTTTCTGGCATCATTAAAAATATTCTCAACTGAGAATATGCAGTATTTTGGTAGTTAGTATAACAGACATAAAAGTTCGAAGTGAACTAGTTTACCACTCGTGTAGCTCTCAACAAAGCAGAGGACAGAAACATACTGACATCACCCAAAGACTCTTAGCTGTTTCTGTTTATTGAATCGTAAATCTGATTGGTTCAGACTAGACATTTCACTTGTGTCTTTTAGCATCAGGCAGCAATCCTGAGTCTGACGTATGAAGGCCCTGCCAAGTTTCGAATACGTCAAAGCTTTTGATCGCGCTACGGCGAGCAGTGAAGGCTTTGAGAGCGTTCAGTGCACGCTGTTGAGATATTGGCTTCCAGTGTTAGCTTCGAACGTGAGTTTAGTTAGTCACTTCACTTCAAACCTTGTTGTCGTTGATTTTGTGTGGCTGCAGGTGTGGTGTTGAGTTACACAGAGTCGGGTGTTCAGCGTGAGCAGCACGGCTGGGAACAGAGCCTTGTCATCCCTCTGGTCTCCCCCGGCAACTGCATCCCCAACTGGGACACGCAGCTGGACCACTTTGCCGCTATGGACACTTGGACCGCGGACAGGTTGCGCTCCCGTTCTCTCGCCCTCTGCCACTCTATCTGCTCACATGACTGACATCTGACTGTCGGTCTGTCCGTCCGTCCACGTGTGTGTGTGCAGGTTTGAGGAGCAGAGGGAGTTTGGCTCCTGTTGCTATGGTTTCGCCCTGGGCTTCATCAACCAGCTGATGATGTCACAGGGCAAGCAGCTAATCACTAGGGAGCGTTTCACTTCCGACCTCGTGCTCCCCCGGGTGGAGGCGGCCTCCAAGTATCTGGCGGTGTTCCGTCACGTCTGTCGTCACGGATACTGGATGGCTTGAGCCTACAAAAATCTTGCTTCTCCCATGGTCCCTGAACTCAGCGCACTCTGCAAGTGTGTTGCCAAGGGCGACTCAAAACACACACTGTGGTAATTTGATGCTTGAGTGCGCGTGTCACTCGATTGACACTTTCAGACACCGGACACATGAGATGTGACAACACACCTGGAAGCGGTCCGCGGCATCACATACTCACACACATTTTCTCATACATTCGGAGACACGCACACACACACACACACACACACACACACACACACACACACACACACACACACACACACACACACACACACACTGTCCATCCAAATGACCAGGAAATGATGTCATCAGTCAGTTGTGTGATGCACAATAAAGACAGGATACGTCTCTGACATCATGTATCAATCATTCGGGCCTGCAAACCAGCGTGAAACTGAACAGCTGTCGGTCAACCATTCTTTCCATGCAACCTGATAATCCGGTAGTCACATGACACTTAGGTCCAACAAAAACGACGACAAGGCGCCCGTGCCCGCCTCTGTCCATGGAGAAACCCGGGGTGATCTGTGTGCGGCACGAGTGCCTCAACAACATCTTCTGCTTCTCCATGCCTCCCGCTTGTCCAGCTTGTGGTGAGCTTCTGGCGGGAAGACGCCTGCGGGAGGCGCCGGTCAGCATCCCCGACCCGCTTGGCAATGGACACAAGACCACGTGCTGCCTCCTTGTAGCGCCAGCCGATCGCAACGCTGACGGGTATGAGCACGCCCTCATATGCGACACACGGGCCAGACCGCCAAAAGCAAAAATGCACCATTATTCGTCATTTTTCGTTCCATGAAGAAACTTTTATTTCAAAATAGTTTTCCCGAAGGAAATGGAAATAAGTGAAGAACAAGTTAAAAAAACGTGTGTGTGTGTGTTTTATCTATCTATCTATCTATCTATCTATCTATCTATTGATAGATAGATAAATCTTTATATATATATATACATATATATAAAATTGTCATGACGTTCCCCCTAAATATCATGCATGCACATCATCATGACAGAATACAGGGCCAAATAACACAACACCTAAGTCTACACCGTTTTGCTGATAAACAACAAATCTGGAATTTTTGGTGGAGATAATGACGCTGTTGTCCTTCAGAGGCTTTGATGGCACGTCAGAACTTCACACGGGAATCTCCAACACTTCAGGTGGGCTCACAATCAAGGTCGGTGTGAGAATGGAGTGGGCGCCACCGAAGGTCTTAGTTTCTGTGCGTGCGTGTGCATGTAGGTGTGGTGTACAACTACACCGGGAGGGGCATACTCCGAGACCAGAGCGGCTGGCGCGCTTGCGTGATCGTCCCACTCGTGAGACCTGACACATTCCACCTCCTGGCCCAGTGGGACCAGTACCTGGAGCGGTTCTCACGCAGACCCCTGTGGGACCCCACCTGGCACAGGTACGTACACGCCCAAAGAAAATCTGACTGACATTACATTGCCCAGGTAAGGTGCTCATGCCAAGAGAACGGAAGCGTCCGAAGTGAAAGGGTGTGATCCAAAAGAGGTTGTACTGTAGTCCCATGTGGAGGTCTTGTCTTTTGAGACAGTACTCATCCCTGCAATTCCTTGTGTGTTCTTACTGGACATATTTGGCCACTAAAGGTGATTCTGACTGTCTCAAGTGAAGGTTTTAGTATACAGAGAAAGAACTAGTTCGAAGAGAGAATTTGAATCCCAAAAGAAGGTCTTTGTCCAAAGTGGAGGTTGTAGTCCCAAATCAAGCTTCTAATTCTGAGGGGAAGCTTCTACAGTGGCATCGACCCATGCTGTATGCATGTGTGTGTGTGTGTGTGTGTGTGTGTGTGTGTGTGTGTGTGTGTGTGTGTGTGTGTGTGTGTGGGCACTTCCGTGTATCAGTTTCTGCGAGGACACTCACAACTGCCTGACGTTCTGCGTGGAGTTTGTGAACAGCGTGTTGGCGGCGGAGGGTCTTGGCAGAGGGCCTCTGAGCAGAGATGTCTTGACACGCACTTTGATCGCGCCCGCTGTGAGCCGAGCCTGCAAGTACGTGGCGCTGCGCCGACACATTCAACATCAACGATTCTACGTGGCCCAGAGACGGCCCACGACGGCTACGTGATGACTTCCTTGCGTTCACATTTGCACTTTTCAGGGAGTCGGCATTTGCACAAGTGTGAAATTAAATCATATTACAAAGTCCATCTTTGCTTATCTGAGTTCATCTATTCATTTTACTCGTTGCTAAGGCCATTTCTTAGCGAGACAAAAACCCGTCAGCTAACTTCTACCTGACACTTAAACGGTGAGCTGCAATTATATTTAGCAACAATAAAGTACTATTGGTAAGAAGGTAAGAAATTCTCCACATAAGCAAACATATAGGTATTTACTAGTATTTACACGACAGGTGCACTGTCTGTATATCATTGGTGGAACATAACTTTGTGTGTGGCGGTGGGGTTGGGGGGGCTGCTGTAATTATGTTGTCAAAATATTACGTTTTAACAAAGTACTCTACGTTAATACACTTCTCTTTTATTTAAAAAGAAAATACAGATCTCTTAAATTTTCGGGGGTCTGAAATTCTTTTTAGGGGTGGTTGATCAACCCCCAACAAAAATGGGATAGAAACGCCCACGGTCAGGGCATATATATTGAGAAACTGACATCGAGACAGTCAATATCATGTATATTGTAACAAACGATGGACTGGTCACTCCTTCAAGAAAAGGAGGAGTGTGAGTGCCCCCACCACCAATTATTTCTTGACTTTGGGGCGAAGTTTTATTTTGGTAACACCGGTTTGGCCATGCTGCTTCAAAGCTAGCGAAAAGTTAGCAGCCAGCATGCTAGTGCAATGCTGAGATGGTAACGAGGCTAAGACGGTAGCTAAGGTTTGGTCGCTGAGCTGATCGTCTGACGGTGGTCGTCCGTGGAAGTTAGCGGCATGCAGGCCGACTTTCGGCCGCCCCGGCGCCGCTGCCGGGTGGACGAAGAGTACGTGGCACCGCTCCCCGTGAGCCGAAGCTCGCCGGAGAGGCGAAGAGCTATAAGGTCGACAACGAGCTGCTTCCGGGCGGACCTCATCAACCGACATGTGCTCGTCACCGAGCCCAAGCACATCAGCGACATATACAACCAGGTGACAACAACCCCCTCTTTTACAACTAACACGTTCACAAGCAGGTGACAACATCATTGATTTTTTCTTGTATTTCTCACTAATATCAGTAGTCGAAGAACTGAACGTGAGATTATTCACAAGTATATTCTATTCTGATGATTATCACTTTTCGCATAACTTCTCGGGTGATAAGATTCACAAACAGTTGACGCGATTATAAATTATCTTTTACGTTTATAACTTGCAGACATGACTCATTTGTTTTTAAGATTCAGAAGCAGGTGTGATATTAACTAATATTAGTTTCTAGGTTTTACTTTTACCTTGAATTGACGCTGTTTAGACACTAAGGGGACACATTATGTAAAATATACTTTTTGATGTCGTGCGTCTCGAGATTCCGTCCACCCAGAATGTTAAAAATCCACGTAAATGTTAAGTTATGTGACTATTTATGAACATAATTACAGCTCATCCTACCTTTGCGAATTTTGTCTGGACAGTAACATAAAATAAAAAATAAACAAATAAAATCCCAAGCAAATACAGCTGGTTTAGGCTTCAGCATATCTGTGATCCTAGTTAGGATAAGCAGTCCATAACATAAATTCATTATTTTTCATTAAAGAAAAAAATACAGAATAAGTCTCATTGTTTCCTTGCAAATGTCAAATGAACCATTGGAGACTTTGTGGTCTTTCAGGGATATTTCGGGAAAGGCATCCTGTCCAGAGCCCGACCAGAGCGCGGCATCTCCGACCAATGGAAGCGTTAGTTGACACTTGAAGTTGAGTTGCAAGTCAACGTCATACTCAACTGTTTTCCATTTTTTTCCTCTTGCAGAATATGAAGGGTTCCTGGTTCCTGTCATAACACAGGCCAGGTGAGTGAAATTACCTCCTGTCTTCCTGGTCTTGGTACCCCTCATATGCCAACAACTGTTCAACATAGCTACCAGATGTACCAAGAAATGTTGTGGGAATTCATTGTTTTTTTGAAAGCTTCAACTTAAATACACATAGAAATTACGCTAACAACATGGCAGGAGGTAGTCTACAAAAGCCATCAGTGTCAACAATTTAGTGATACGGTTGCTATATGCATTTAGGCACTCTTCCTCTCTAGTGAGTACTTTTCAAAAAAGTGACAAGCAATTGAATTCCTCCAAACAAACAGACAACATGAGCGGCGTCATTTTTCATTAGACAAGAAAACAGCTGTTTCAATTCACTATTCAACGTACAAAAACACACAAATAGCAGTTTTACCATTTTAAAATCAGAACATTTCCGTTGCACCAGTATGAGAAGCTCTGCTGAACTTTTATGCCTATATCACTTCTGAGATAACTTTTCCTCGTTTCTTTCTGCAGGTATGAGGAGCTGCTCGGATGGGCGGAGTCAGCTCTCCTGGCTCAGGGGTTGGCTCAAGTGGCTGTCAATCAAATGCTGTTACGACTCCGCCAGCCTGTCCAAGTGGACGAGTTGAGGTGGGAGGTGGAGAACGGGGACAAGCCCCAACTGGATGCTCAAGCGCACCCACACGCAAACTTCAGTCCTCACCTCGAATCCAAACCGAGTCAGAGCCTGCTTCGTGAGCTGAGTCCTGGCTCGAGCCCAGACCTCAGTCCTGACCAAGGATCTGACTCTGGATCTGACTCTGAGCCGGATGATGCTCCTGTAGTTCCAGGTCCTGGTTTTGTCCTTGTGAGCTTTGACGGTGACCATGTGAGTCTTTAGTCATGCGTGAATTATTTTTTTAATTTCATTGTAATTTCTTGTTTGACAAATGCTTGCGATGTTCAAGTTGAATCTTTTGCTGTCCATGTTACAGGTTGCCACAGAGACGCCGCAGCTCAGACGGAATCCTTTACGAATGACGGAATACCTGCAACTCGGCCTGGAGGAGGTCCAGTCTTGAAACTCTGGAGTTGTTTTTTCATTCATGTCGGCTGATTGATGAGACTTGGATTGGTCCGAACGCTCCAGTAGCCATCTTGCTGTTTGTCTGTTCCTGCAGGCCTTCTTCCTGGTATACAGCCTGGGCTGCCTGTCTGTCCACCTGCAGCAGGTAATTGTCTGTCAACGCTAATTGAAGTAGATGAAAAGGTCCTTCATAATAACTCACGGTTCATATGTATTCATTATTCTTTTTATTATTATTATTATGATTATTATTTCATCGGCTTGTTGGTGATGTCTGTCATTTCACTGTTCTACCACAAGGTTTTGTGTGTATGCACGGTCAGAGCTGTGCGTACATTTCCTCACACATAAGCCCAAATTGAAAAATTCACCTACTTTGTGTGGGAACGTTCGTACGCACTTTTTACGCAGTTCAGTGGCTATGCGCACTCGTCTCCCTACTTGTACTTGAGGCACATGTGATCTTTCCTGTGTAGTCATCTGACCGAGGTGACCATGTCTTTCTTGTTAGGACCCCCTGTCGATCACGGAGCTGTGGAGACAGTGTATGGCGCTGCGCCCTGACTTTGTCAGCTCCTATGCGGCCTACCATCACTTTCGCAGCAGGGGGTGGGTCCCCAAAGGAGGAAGCGGCGCCAAGTATGGCGTGGACATGCGTAAGAAAAGCGGAAGCAGTGCAATGTAGGACCATGAGTCTGAAGTTTAACATGACGAATGTCTTATTTATTTTTGTGTCCGTGTGTGTTTTTTTTCCCAGTGTTGTACAGGAAAGGTCCTCCCTTCTACCATGCCAGGTACACACACAATGTTAAACAGTGGTTTTCAAAGTAAGGGGGACTGGGAAAAAATCATCAGTAAATAACAGGTGCAACAAATATTTGATAAATTGACAAGCATATAAATTAACAACTACTTTGATAAATTGGGTTTAATTGGCGATAGGATTATGAGGGCATCCATGGGGGAAAACAAAAACCTCTCCCTTGACCAGAAACGTTTCACATGCCCTGAGGTAAAAACAAACCATCTTTCAGTCCTAAAAATGTTAAAACATAATATTGTAATTTGTTTTACAGTTATTCAGTGGTAGTGGAAAAAGTGGATGAGCGTTTTGAGGGTTCCACGCTGCGCCCGTTTTCCTGGCGTTCTCTGGCAGCTTTGAGCAGAATCACTGCGAATGTCTCGAAGGTGATGCTGCTGCTGCCATGCATTTTATTGATGGCTTTGTTCTGCTTAATTAAAAAAAAAAAACAACAAAGCTTTGTTGCTCCACCTACAGGAGCTCCTCCTGTGTTACGTCATCCATCCAGCCGACCTGTCAGAAGCTGAGCTGGACTCGCCTGCTTGTCTGAGCAAGCTGAAAGTTCAGGTGATGCTGTGTCCCTTTTTATAACTTTGGCGCTCTTGTTATTGTGGAATTAACATGAAGATCGACATCATGCTTTCAAATTTGGTTAACCCTCACCTATTTGCCAATCTTCATGAGCTAACTCCCCTAGCTACGAATTGACTCTCGTTTGCTGACGCACCCATCACACCCTCGGTCCCTTTTGAAGCTACACATTCGAGTCACAGATAATACAGTGTAGAATGTCAAGATGGCGACTCCTAATGGAGTTAAGTACTTCTTGTACCTCACATGCATATTTCATACTATTTGTACTATGCACAGTTTTAAAATGTGTTTAAATAATAAAATGAATGGATGGTTGCCACTTTTTGGATTCACCAAGGCTTTTGGAATGTCTGAACTTTTTCCTGTGATGTCCATTTTCTGAAGTGATGTGGGTACTGTGTGTGTGTTTGTGTAGGACGTCATGGTCAGCAGGTGGGTTTCCTCCAAAGAGCGCGCTGAGCAAGAAGACATCTGACTGTCTGACAGCAGAGGGGGGCATGGTCCACAAACGAGTGGCGCGGAACCTGCACATGATGTTGGGATAGTGCATTTAATTTATAAAACACCACATTTAAGGGAAATTGGAACAGAAATATTAAAAGAACAGATATCAAGATAAGACAAGGAAATCAAAATTTTCTTTTGTTTTTTCAGAAATGTATTTAAAATGAGGATGCTGGGTACAGAGGTTCATGTCTGAATGTTTCTTCCTTCATGTTGTCCATTTGTTTCATTCTGTACAATGTTTATCATGTTTATTTGTCAAACTGAACTATGTTTATTCACAAATATCAATGTCTTCCCTTATTGAACTGATCGTGTAAATTTAGGAGTGCAGACTTGATATCACAAGACTAAAACTCCAAATTAAAAAATGGTAAATAAAAAAAGGATCTTTAAGAGAAGCTGTTATGTGTTGTATTGTTTAACTTTGAACAATTCATATTAGCTGCATTAGAGGATCTCTGATTGGTGGAGGAATGCCCCCAGATCTCATCGCTTGAGCCGCATTACCGTACTCTTTTTCTCTTGTTTTTGCACTGACTGTCTCTCAGTCTTCATTTGAGCATTTCAGGTCCTAGCAAAGTGAGAATAAATATTTATGAAACTCATTGTGAAAAATAGGAATTTTCTCCCTCAAAAGAAATCTCAAAAATACAAATCTACCAATCTTGCGGAATTGAAGGATATAACTAATGCAAAAAGCAAAGTTACTTTCCATTTTTTAAAAATAGATCAGGAAATCAACATCCATCCATTCATTTTCAACAGTCGGTGGGGCCTATCCCAGGTGACTTCGGGCAGAAGGTAGCCTACAACCTGAATTGGTCACCAATCAGTCGCAGGACACATGTGGAGACAAACAACAATTCACACCCACAACCACACAATCATTGAGTGGGGAATCGATCCTTTGCTGCCCGCACACAAGTCCGGCGAGCATACCAATACACCACCAGCGACCTGAAATCACCATATCGGACCAATTACAAATCAAACACATAGCTTTGACTTTTGTTTGCTTTGGTTAAAGCGAATATAATTACGGATTGTGGGGCTGTGTCCAAATTCACAGGCTGGATCCTCCAAAGCCCACAGTTTCGGCTGCATAACGTTACTTTTTGCAACTCGACCGCACGCGGTTTCCAAATTCAAGAAAGACAATTCGCAGGTTGCGTCCCTTGTCACCTTCAGAAGCTCCTCCTTATGTTGTCTCTGTGGAACACATAAACCAGGGCGAGTTTGGACACCACGCATGGTTCATTTTTATCACACCTAGGGACAATTTAGAGTGTTCCATGCATATTTTTGGAATGTGGAAGGAAACTGCAGTACCCAGAGAAAACCCACGCAGGTAGGGGAAGAACATGCAAACTCCACACAGGAAGGCTGGAGCCTGAACCCTGCACCTTTCCACTGTGAGGCGGACCTGCTAACCAGTCGACCACTGTGCTGCCTAGGTGAATTACAGTTACTTCCAATAAAATATGACTCAAGATATACAACCTCAAAACAAAAAGACCATAAACATGTGCAATGATGCCTGAAAGCCTTCCAGAAAACATTTATCTTTAGGCACTATATTTTATTTTCTATTACTTAATTTGTTGAATGTGAATCTTTTTGTACTGTATTTGACTTTGGGAAAAGCCACAATATTTGTACGCATCTTGTTCAATTGCTCAGTTAGGACAAAACAAAGGAAACCCAAAAACATCAAGCAGTCAGTCAAAATGACTTCGTGATCTCGTGTCCATAATCTCGTCTCGCGAGAATTTCTCGCGCCATTTCAAGTACAAGAAGTAACGTCGCGCGGACGACGGAGGAGCGGTCAAAGTCAACTTCGGCGACGTTTGACCCTTTTTGTTGCAGTCGGAGCCGACGAGGAGCTGAGTAACGAGGTAAAAACCCGTCTCGTCCGCTCAACTGTTTTGCCCGGGCCCAGGAATATGCGTTAAAGGCGGGCGTGTTGTAAGTCAGCTTCGGGAGCTAACAGCTCGCCGGGCGCGCCATGGAGGCCTCGCGAATGGTGAAGCGCTCACAAGGCCAAGAAGGAGAATATAAGACACACGTGAAAAGACGCCGAGTGGTCGCTATTCGTCGATGGAAGGAATACCACCATCGCCAGTTTAACTGCCCGTTCGCTAATTTATCTCCCCATTATCAAGTCAGCTAAAATCCACACGCGATGCGAGCCTGACAACCACTCGTTTGCCCTCGTTTATAGCTACACACCGGATTTCGGTCAACACGTTTCAGCGCCATTTTAAGGTGAAAAGCCACCGAAAATCCTCTTAAAATGGCGCTTAAACGGCACCGAGCTACATCGATTCGATACCTGAAGACGTACAGACGACGGCACTTATCCGTGTATCAACTGAATTTTCCTCAAGAGATGAATCGAAATGTCATTACATTGAACCCCCGCTCCTCGCGTGTTCGCCCTTTCGCGGAGATTTTCACCTGTTAATTGCTGAACGCTTCACCGTTTTCCTCTTTATATATGTAAAATTCTGGGTCTGCCCTGATATATATATATATATTTTACCATGAGTGATTTCAGTAGGTTGGTCGTGAATAGGTTATTTTTTTGCGTCGTGTGTACGCTGCCGTGTCACAATTCTACTGGCTTCCTTATTAACTGGTTCCGTAACTGGCTGTTAGGGCAATGTCAGTTCAGTAACTTTGGGTTCCCTAATCATAAACTTACCTTATTTAACTTTGTTTTATTTTATTTATGGTTTTAAAAATAAAATAGACCGATAGACAGCAGAAAATCAGCTGTTCATCTCATGTTTGTTTTCAAAATAAAATGCCAAATAATGATTTGACATCGTGTGTGTGTGTGTGTGTGTGTGTGTGTGTGTGTGTGTGTGTGTGTGTGTGTGTAGCATGGCGGACGACCTGGACATTGAGGCGATGCTGGAGGCTCCTTACCGGAAGGTGAGCATCTTTTTCTGTCATCTGTTGAACTTCACAAATATCTGCCAGTCATCACCGTCCAAATGGACATCTAGCTACCGGTTGCTACATAAGGAACACGAGGGTTGCTGTTAGGGTTGTTGAACCGCAGTCTTTGCCTTGAAATGTCAGGTTTTAAGTGTTTGTCATAAAACTTAAATTTCAGTGGGGCCTTAACATTGCAGATTTTTTTTTCAGATTCCGTTTGGCATTCTAAAAGTGAAGAAGAGAAGAAAAAACAATTTGTCTCACAATGGAGAAATTTGCAATTTACAGCAGCAAAAATTATAGAAAAGAGAAAGTAGAAAAAAACAAAAGTATAAATTATAAGCACATATGCATATGCAAAAGTGGCTGCGCTATTTAAAATGGGTGACTCCAGGTTTTCACGTGCGTCTATTTAACAGTGATCACTGATTATTGTTCGATTGATTCGACTGCTGTATAATGAGTAAGTTAATTTATTTTATGGTCCCTAAATCCATACAGCAACAACGATTAACTGTAGAACTTTTGACTGGTTTTGGATATTTTGGTTTGGCTCTTAGTATATGTTTGAGGTCAAAACATGCACAAAAAAAGAAGCATCAACTGATGAATTTATCTTTTCGGGCCATAAATGTTTGCAAAATAAAAGCAGGGGTGCATATAACAATTTTGGCGTGTTCTCAAATGAGTACCTGAGGTGGTGGTTTGCTATTCCCCCCCCACACAACCCAATGACCAGACATATTAGATTTACACCGTGATGAATGTTAATGTCAATTTAATGTTAGATTTTTTTCTTCAGATTTAAAGTTTAATTTCCATTTCCTAATTATAACATCATATACCATAGCTACACGACTGCAACCAATTAACACAAATACAATTCCCTGCTTTACAAAAAGACAAAGTAATAGTTGAACACAATTGAATTAGCATGATGGTGTGGCCCTTGACAGTCATTTCAGTTTATCACATGGCCACTTGGGAAAATTAATGGAAAACTCCTGACTTGCAGTATGAGACTTCACTTTATTTTCAAAGAATTACCCAATTTGTCAGATAATAATTGTTGGGAGGAGCTATACAACTTGACTTCAACTGTGTGTGTGAGGTTGAGCATGCCCAATGTGATGTCATGTTGGCTGCATACACTCATGAGGAAATGGGATCTCTCTTTGTGGACTTGAATTCTCTCGTGTGATTGCCAGTGTGTTGTGTCACAGATCCACTCTGCCCGACTCCACGGTGAGGAGGATTATTGTGGGACATGAGTAGACAGACTGAGCCAGACAGGAAAGCAGCTGTTAGCTTAGCATGATCAGGCCGGCTGACCGACAAACACAGTCAGGCATGTAGTTTATGTGGCATCGGCAGCATTGACAGAAACAAAGCGCGATGCATCCTTTTGCATAATGCCGCTCTGTGTGAATGGCTCCAATGCCAAATGCAGGAGACCAAGTACACCCAGTGATGGGTTGATTTCCACCACATGGTCACTATTTGTTTATATGCCATGTTGGGAGGTGGAGCTGTGGAGTAATAACGAAGTTTATTTTAAATATCAATAATGTGCAATATTGACCTGACTGCAGACAGAGTTAAAAACAAACAAAAAAAGCAATTGTATAGAAAATCGTAGAATGTGATGACATTTACAAGAGATGATAGTTGCATACTGACATAATACATGACATTACATTATACTACTTGGTGAGTAAAAGTTTAGTCACAGGCTAAACAGGTGCAGCGATCATGCAGTGTCTCCTAATTTGAACTGATGATTTTGGAATGAATGAGGTGAATTTTGTTGTTCATTGCAGAGTCTTGCAGTCATTTGTTACAGAAATAGAAAAGCTGATGAGGCAAGAGTAGTGTGTACTTCGGGAGCAGAGAGTTTCACAAAACTGCTGGAATGGCGAGTGCATGTGGTGGTAGGGTGGACCCTTTTCATGATAGTGTCACTGTATGGATGTAACATTGCTAAGCCAACTAAGTGTTTCGAAGAACTCCACATGTGAGCAGTGGCTATCTCGCCGAGTGAGGTCAGATCGGCTTATTGGCGAATGCTACAAGCTCAGGCCGCTCTTTGACAATTTTGGCATCTATCCTCTTGCCCTGCTTCAGATTTGTCGATGAGAAACAAAATAAGCCTTTGTCACTCCCACCCATTTTGTTGGAGCCAAACGCTGCACACCAATGCACTGATATTTAAGGTTGGCCAGGCCATCGATACAATTCCTCCATTCAAACACACGGAATGACATGGCAACCTCCATAGTGTCTGCGGGTCTGTGGCTTCTGCATTTGTATCAGCCATAGGCCTTTGGCGCTATCTTGTGCCACCTCAGAAATAGTCCAAAAACAGTGAGTAACATAGAATAGGTTCCCCCACAAAAAGCCACAAATAGGGACGGTAACTCTGTTTTTGGAGTGGCTCGGAGACACCGGTGGGCTGGATCTCTCTTGGTACTTGAAAGTGTCATTTTTGTTGCAAAAGATCATTTGACATAACCAAGCAGCTATTTTGGTTGGATGTTCATAGATGCCACGCACATGCACACTGCGCATTTCGTGGCATCTTCAAGAAATGAAGGGGTTGGATAGTGTGGTGACTCCCAGGGTAATGCATCAGGCGGTGCTCCTGGCTGTTGTGTAGTCGTAAGGGAGCAACAAGTGGATGAGGGCAGCTGAGATGTGGAGGAGCCCGTGAGCGCAAAGAAGGAAGGAAGACGTTGCCCACTTGCGAGTTGACTTGACCCAAGACTCCTGTCTGCTGCAGGGCCCTTGAGAGGCGTCCCAGCGCAGCACCCACAGAGGAAGAAGAGTCCCTCCCGCCCGAGTCGGCCGCCTGCCTCAGCTCTGACCCCCTCCCCCAGCACACAAAAAGTCTGTTTGAATGTCACTCACTCACTCTCCATATTCTCTTTTGCCCCCCCGCCCCCAACCCCTCCCCTGCCAACACCCCAATGTCGCGTCTGCCTCCTCACGCTCTTCTCTGTCGACCCCGCTAGGACGACAAGACGGCCAGCCCCAATGGCGGGGACGAACAGGCCAAGAGGTACCCGCCGCCGTGACTCTCTGCACGTCTGTCTGCCTGCCATCTTGTCTTGTCCTGTCTTGTCTCACCAGTCAACCTGTAAGGGGCGGTCGCTTTATCCATTTTTGTGATTTAAAAAAAAATTTTTTTTTTTTTTGCAAGCATTAAGGCTGCGGAAATAAGTTAAGTGGGAATACGCTACTTCAAAAATAGGTTCTCTGATGAGAGGCGAGACAACCTTAGCACCCCAGTTGTGATCATTTCAATGGCATGAGAAAGAAATTACCTCGACATGTTACACATCGTGAACGAGAATAAGGTATTTCTGCCAGCGCCGATCAAAACACTCTGTTCTGATTAATATTGCATTTGTGGAATCGGAATGAAACAATCCGTTTTCATCCGGGTCCACCATATTGCAAATATCATCTACGTTTGTGGACATCATGTCTATGTTGGGATGAGCTTTTTAAAATCTTGCTCACACCACGTCAGAAAGTCATTGTTGTGCTACTTCATATGACGATCCGCATATAACTGAGGTAATATGCAACAGTGTCACGATGATGTTAATTTTGATCGAGAGCCGAGGGTGATTGACAAAAGGGGCTTGTTGATAACCTCCACGCTGTTTTCACAGTATATACACATAAAAACAAATGTCCGTTATTTCTGAGGCAGGTGATGCACGTTACGGCTGGGGAAATGTTTTTCAAAGATTTATCAGGAGAACTAAAGCAAATCATCATTAGCTTTTTCTTTACACCTGTGGGGAATGGGGGTGGGGGGCACAATCCTGTCTGTCTACCTTGCTTGTCTGTCTTCTTTCCCTGCCAATCTGTCTGTTGTCTACCTATTTGTGCATTTGGCTGGAATTTGTCTGTCCTCTGTCAGTCTGCTTGTTTGTGTTGGTCTCCTGCGTGTCCTTCAACTTTCATTTGTCTTTCTGATCCAACATTTTTCTGTCGGCCTGTCTGCGTTTCTTTCTCGTCCGCTTCCCTGTGTGTCTTTATCTCTTTTGTCTGGCGTGTGGCATGTCCTGGTCGTCTTGCCAGTAATAGCGGTCCTCGCTGCCGTGTTGTGATTGGCCGCCACTCTAGCAGGAAGAAGCGCAGCCGTAGTCGCGACAGGAAGCGCAGCAAAAGTCGAGAGAGGAAGAGGAGTCGCGAACGCAAGCGCAGCCGGGAGAAGCGGCGCAGTCGCAGCCGAGAGCGCCGACGCAGTCGTGAGAGGGGCGGGCGCTACAGAGACTACCACAAGGCGTGAGTTCCTTGTACTCCTCAGAGGTTTGCCAAGTCACCAACAGGAACTTTTTGTGACCTGTGTGTGCAGGCGGAAGCGATCAAGGAGCAGGAGTCCCATAAGGAGGGAGAAAAGTCCAATCAGAAGAGAGAAGAGTCCCATCAGGAGGGAGAAAAGTCCCAACAAGTAAGTCCTGAAGACATGTTTAAGGTTTCAGATGTTGCCCCCCCGCCCCCTCCCTTTTTATCTATTTATTTTTACCTTTTGTCCTACGAAGGCCTCTGGTGGACAACTTGACTCCAGAGGAGCGAGATGCTAGGACCGTCTTCTGCATGCAGCTTGCTGCCCGTATTCGACCTCGAGACCTTGAGGACTTCTTCTCTGCTGTGGGCAAGGTAACGTCACCATAGAGCTCCGTACGGGGGGGGGGGCACAGCGGTTGTTTCTTTTTATTGGCTGCAGCCGGTGACCTCTCCCGCTTGTTTGTGCGCAGGTTCGAGATGTGAGGATGATCTCAGACAGGAACTCGCGTCGGTCAAAGGGCATCGCTTACATCGAGTTTGTGGAGGCCAGCTCTGTTCCTCTCGCTATCGGGCTGACAGGGCAGAGGCTGCTGGGAGTTCCCATCATTGTGCAGGCCTCGCAGGTAACATGCAAGCAACAAGCAATGAACGGTTATGTGTCTTGGGGAGCTGATCATATGATGGAGCAGAATCTATTGGAGTAACTTTTAGTAAGTTTACTGAGCGTCAATAAAAGTATTTTTCCAATGTTACGTGCCTCCAGGAAGGAAGGAAACAAAAAAAACATGACTTGAATAGAAAACATTTATTTGTTAATGAATCTGCAGACCTTGATTATTAGTAATGGTGTAGCTGCTTTCAAAATATGCAGTTTATAAAATCACAACTTAATACTGGACACGCTGGAACTATTTTTATTTTTCATTCATCTTTATTCATATAGGTGCTTTCACATCAGCTGCAGCTGTAACAAAGCGCAAAAGTTAATATAAAATAACAAAATAATACAACACAACACAACATTAAAAAAACTTGCATTTAAATAGCCTTTGGAAATTCTGCATGGCAGTATGAAGTCAAGTGGGAAGCTGGTGCAAAAAATCAAGGAGGTGAATATGTGACAAGCGAGCTACGACTAGTTAGCGTGTGTTAACCGTGTTTGGATTTGCGTTTCCAGGCTGAGAAGAACCGAGCAGCCGCCGCTGCGGCCGCCGCCAACAACCTTCAGAAAGGCTCATCAGGACCCATGAGGCTCTACATCGGCTCGCTGCACTTCAACATCACAGAGGAGATGCTGAGAGGAATCTTTGAGCCCTTTGGAAGGGTGAGACACTTTCGAGTCGACTAAGAAACGGCTACTTCAAGTGGCTATAAACTTCATATTTTGTCATCAGATCGAAGGCATCCAGCTTATGATGGACAGCGAGACGGGTCGCTCCAAAGGATATGGCTTTATTACAGTGAGTTGATCCGTGAAGAATAAAATGCTTCATTTTCATAAAAATGGAACAATAACAATAAAGACGCTTGTAGAAATGAATTTCTAATTCATCACTTTTTCATGAAGCCATAGTCTTCTACATGTGAACTTCTCCCATCCTGTTCTCTTATCTTTGATCTGACCGTATCAGTTTGCAGACGCAGAGTGCGCCAAGAAAGCTCTGGAGCAGCTCAATGGTTTTGAGCTGGCAGGCCGGCCCATGAAGGTGGGCCATGTGACTGAGCGGAGCGACGGGTCCGCAGCCGCCTCTCTGCTGGACAGCGACGAGCTGGAGCGCACCGGCATCGACCTGGGCACCACCGGGCGGCTGCAACTCATGGCTCGGCTTGCCGAAGGTGAGGCCGGTTGGCAAGTCGTCTTTTAACGGGTGTCCATAGCTTCTTCTGTGGATGGAGAGTTGTTTTCTACACAAGTCGTGGTGTGTGGTTTGCGTTCAGGTACTGGCCTGCAGATCCCTCCCGCTGCCCAGCAAGCACTGCAGATGAGTGGCGCCATCGCCATCGGTGCCATGGCTGCCGTCTCAGGTAAGGCTGGCTTGACTTACACTTAGACCCGCCCCTGATACATTAGCTGGCCTTGCTCACCCGTTGTATGCTTGATTGATTGACAGCTGCCATGAATCCATCCATGAACCTCAACATGAACCCCCCGGCACTCAACCTTCCCTCTCAGCCTTTGGCCACGCACTGCTTCCAGCTCTCCAATATGTTCAACCCCAGCAGGTGTGTACACACCTTCCGGCGGTCCAACATGTTCAACCCAATTGGTACTGTCATTGCTAATGTTTGCATGTGCGCGTTTGCCTGTCAGTGAGGATCATCCTGGCTGGGAGATGGATATCCAGCACGATGTCATTGAGGAGTGCAACAAACATGGCGGCGTCGTTCACATCTATGTGGACAAGAACTCAACGGAGGTACAGCTGACACCCGAACTCTTGATAATGCGTGTGTGCGCACAGGCTCAGTTAAATTTGTGGTTTCCAGGGCAACGTGTATGTCAAGTGTCCGTCCATCCCTGCTGCCATGGCGGCTGTCAGCGCTCTTCACGGACGATACTTTGCGGGTGAGATTTTTTGGACATGATGTATTTATCAAGACAAAATTGCTGTCTGGGTCATGCTTTCGTCAACCAAGCGCATAGCAACTTGGTTATGGGGCCGGTACCTATTTGTTCAATTTCCTTTCGTTTTAACAAGTCTCCAAACCAATGTGATGGCTGAACCAGCCTGGTCTGTAGACTAATACAATGGACAAAAGTTGAAGCTACAACCCAAAAAGTGTGCGAACTCAATTTCTCTCATCTGTTAAAAGATGAGAGAAACGTATGTCACTAATCTTATGATCATAAATGTTCAGTCCTTATGTGTGGATAAGTAACCAAGCAACCGCGGAAGCTGACAGCCCTATATGAATGGTTGTGACATAAGGTTCTCATGAGTTATTCAAATGTTTACAGTGCGGATAATGATTGAAATATGAATATTTCATGTGACCATAATAAGCAGATCCTCCAATATCAATTTCACTTCCGGTATTGCTGTGTCTGTGTTGATGAGCTCTTACGTGTGGTTGCAGGCAAGATGATAAAGGCGGCATACGTGCCACTTCCCGCCTACCACAACCTGTTCCCGGACGCCGCCACTGCCACGCAGCTGGTGGTCCCGCCTCCGCGCCGATGATTCCGCTAGCGCTGGACATGTTTTGATAACTCGTTTTTGGATCGTTCAGTAAGCTACTTCCTGTTGACTTTCTGTCGTGTTGAAAATGTCGAGGGGGTGGCCTCCATCGAGCGCGGACCCGTGCTGTCCAATGAGTGAGCTCTGTGAGCTGCGAGGAGGCCCTATCATTGACGTCAAACATTTGTCTTGGTTTTCTAATAAAATCCTTGATTAAACTTTATTTTCAAGTCATAAACAAGTCTTTTTTTTTGGGGGGGGGGACATTACATGCTTTCAAGCTGTTTAAATGTGGGCTACACAGTAGTAAATACACACATGCACCTGTGTGTACACGGACCGTTGTTTCTGTTGGGAGTTGATAGGTCAGAGGTGGGGTTCGTTCAGGTGTATGACGGTGATGGTGATGTCATCGCGGTACCTCCTGGCCACCTCAGGGGGCAGACTGAGCATCTTGGAAAGGCGAGATGTGGCCACACCCCCGTAGCCGTCATCCCCCAAGGCGTGACGCAGAAGGTGGGTTGCAGCGTTGTGGTCCTCCGGGACCGACCGCACCCTTCCCCTCCTCTCCAGGAGGAGGCGCCGTAGGTCAGCCAGGGTCGTGCCCGCGCTGGCGATGATGGGCTTCTGCTCCCGGAGGTCTGGAGCAATGAAAAGGAGCTTAAGGTTATGCCCCTTCCTACTTTCCAACATGGTGACCTGCAGCATACACACTCAGCCACATAAACACACACACTGCTTCCTGTTCTTCAAACATGTTAAACTACAGCAGACACACAAGCTCTCACACTGTTGTACATCCTCAAAAAGTCAAAACTCCTTCCTACACTCCAACATGTTCAACATCAAAGGTAAACAACACGCTCGCGCGCACCGTCCCGTTGTCCGCAACAGTGTGTTACCTTTGAGGTGTTCCGCCAGCCTTTGTACGGCGGTGTGTCGGTGCATCAGCTCCCAAAGTCCATCACTTGCCAGAACCACAAACTTGTCAGACGGCAAGATACGGCGTCGTGTGACCTCCGGCTCGGCGCTCAGGTAAGGCGGGGTCAAGTAGTGGGGTGGCGGTGGTAGGGCGCGGGCCCCCTCGCGGAGGTCGGGCCGCGTCTCGTACAGTCGAGCTAGGGTCTCTGGACGCCACTTGAAGCGGACGTCCCCAAAGGCCCGGAACGGCAACAGCAAGCCCAGCAGGCGGTGATGCCGCACTGCCGTCCGGCGCTCGGATGGCGGGTGAGCTCCCAGGACCCTTTGCAGCTCATCTGGGTTGTCGGCGGTGTGATCGTTGGTCAGACCGACAGCCGTCCAGCGTCCATCTGCTTCCTGCACGCCCAGGACGGCCCGGCTGTCCCCGAGATTGGCAACATGCAGGATGCCGTCCTGCACGTGCGCCACACACGCTGTGCAGCCGGATAGCGCCACCCGCAGCGGGGAGGGCTCGTTCGATTTCTCGGCTGGAGACCGGCCTCTGCGGAAAACCCGGCGGGGCAAAGAAATCATTTGTCCCGGTACTTTCTTCCTTCCTGCTTTTTCCCCTTCCTTTCTTCCTTCTTTTTGCCTTCTACTTCATTTTAACTCAACTGTGCAGCCAATGGATCTGATGCGTTTTGAACATAAAAGTGTTGCGAAAAATATTTGAGGGAGCGGTCAACCACAAATTGGATCCTGATGTCCTGCTGTCCATCATTTCAGTTAATCATTCCAGTATCAAATAAGTGATGTACACATCAATAAATCCATGTTTCCTTCCTTGCATCCTTTCAAACAGCTACACTTCCTTCAATACAACCCTCTTTCCTTCAATGCCTTCACCCACACTTTCCTTCCATTCATCCTGATTTATTTCCTTTTATCCTCCTTTCCAGCTCCTCAATCATGCTTCCTTACCCCCTCTGACGTTTCCTGCTTTGGTTCCTTTCTTCCCGTCTTTTCAAACATCCATGTTTCCTTCTTTCAGTCATTTTTCCTTCAGTCCTGTTTTTCTCTTTCCTTCCTTCTATCCATAAACATACCCATGTTTTCCTGCTTCAATAAAAAGTTTCCTTCCGTCCGACCCATCTTTTCACTTTTTTTACATTTCCTGCAACCTTCCTCCAATCCCTGTACACATCCATGTATCCTCTTCACCTCCTTTTCATCTTTCTTTCCTTACTCCCTCCCTCCACACCGCCCTCACTCTGTTCCCTCCTTCTCGGGCATCCCGTGTCGATCCCCGAGAGAGCGCCCGTTGGGAAGACGGACCTTTGAGAGCATGCCGACGCGTGCACCTGAGCTTCCACGGACAGATCGTAGTCAAGGCGACGAAAAGCGTTCTCCAGCGCACAACTGAGCATGCTGTCGTCCTGCAACCAATCGGAGAGGAGTGGCATGATGACATCACAATACCGAGATGGGGTTCGACAAACATTTCTGCGAATATACACAGGCGCCTCAGGTACTGGCAAAATAATCAAAACTTCGATGTTTGATTTTATGTCCCATACTTTCAAATTGTTATTCCAAATCTTTCTCGATAGTCTTTGTAGTCTTTGTAAATATTTTCCTCACCAAGAATTTACTACCACCCGCCTCCCTCGTAAAGAAAGAAAAAAAAATGTGTTAATGTATAACTACCGAAGCGTGGAGCTGCCAATGTGGAGTAAAAATATTTTGACAAACAAATATTACGTGTTCGAACGTGAAATGCATCAATATTAAAATTCAACTCAAATGTGTCCTTCAATTCAAAAACCCCAGATCCTGTCACGGTGCAAAACGTCAAAACGTGTAGATCTTAATATATTATAACGTGAACTTTTATCGCTATTTCGTGATACTCAACTTTTTGTTAACCTTTGCGGTAACGAAAAGGAAAAGTTCCAGCGTCTCTGCTGCGTTCACCTGCTGGTCGTCATCGTCGTCGTCGTCCCCGTCCAGCCTCTCCTGCCAGTAGTTGCGCAGACTTTGGAAGGCGACGCGGCCGCCGTCGGGTCCCCGGTGGTCCCGGGGGTGTTTGAGCCACTCGAGCAGGGGGGGCACGGCGCGGCCCTCGTCCACTGCCCGCTCCAACTCGGCAAGCGCGGCCAGGGGCAGCGTGGCCACAGCGATGTAGTAGAACAGACGGCGGCTGACGGCGCGCGCACACGCCGGGCCCCCGTGACCGTCAAAGACGCCGAACAGGACGCCGCCGCCCTCCCACAGGCAGGTGGCGCTGCTGCGGCAGTCCTCGCCCGGCTGGTTGGACGCCAGCGTGTTGCTATGGAAGGACAGTGCGCCGTGGGAGGCGGGGCCTCGCGGCAGGACTTGGCTGTATTCGTTGGCCTGCGCCAGAAGATTCCCAGTTAGAGGACGCCTCAGGCCCTACCTTCCATTCTTCGCGACTTTTACGATATTCTTTTCTTCTTCCTAGCCTTAAATTATTTGGTCTAATCCTTTCCTTCTTTCCTTCCTGTGCGACTAATTACTTCTTGCTGTTTTCCTTTTTATTCTTCCTTTCCTTACCCTTCCTTTTTGTCTTCCTCACATCTTTCCTTCCTGAGAGGCCTCATCTAACACGTTAGTACATCATTTTTTTCCATCCTACCTACCTTGAGGATGTTGTTGATGTCAGGTGCGCTCATGTGTGCCCCGTGAACTTCCATAGCCGCTCTGTATTTGCTGCTCCTCCTTCCTCCTGCTGGGTGATGGCGTCTGCAGGCAGGCAGAGATGGAGGCCCCCGCCCGATAAACAGCAAGAGCCCGCGCAAGTTGCGCCGCCGGCCCACGTTGACGCCTCCTCCCAACATGGCTGTTGAGTGACACGTGAATTTTACGGGATGCTGTCATTTTACTTGCCAAAGTTGGATTTTGGGAAGCGAACTCTTGAAGACGTTTCAAAAGAATGACCGGTCATGAGGCAAAACGCTCATTAGCATTACACACCTGGCAACAGCAAAAACTGTCTGACCACACCAGGGGAGGGGACACACCCACCAACTCATAAATTGGGGATCTCGATTGACTCTAGCTGCAACAATGAATCGATTACTTGTTCCTTCCCCCAAAGATATTGAGGAATATTTTCTGACGGATGTCACAGATAAAACCATTGACGATAATTCATGTTTTTGTGTTTTCTGCACAACAGGAAACAATCTTCTGTTTTTCAACAAAGTGATGGATTTAAAAAAAAATCATCCCCTTCGATTAATTGAATAGATCAACAGATTAATGTTCTGTTAAAATAATCGTGCACTGCAGCCATAATGTCAACTAACTGACCAACCGATTGACCCATGATTCAACTGACAAATTAGCCTAATGGATGAAATAACACGCTCTCCCCGAAAGATTGTCTGAACTTGAGGAAAAAGTAAACTAACCTGTTTTTCCTGTCTTGTACCTCTTTGATATTGAGTGCAGTCCAAATAGTTGATGACTAGTTGAGCCAATGTGCCGAGTTGCACTCTCGCCACCTCACCTTGGGACTTTCTCCTTTGGGAGTCAGAGCTTGTCCAATTGGTCGTCGTCTTGACGCCTGTCTCGAGACCTTTGGCAGCTTTCGCATCATGTTGCATGACGTAACTAATCGGTCAACCATCAACTTGCTCACAAAACACACACACACAGAACAAAGGAACAGTTGACACAGTCACCTTTGGACCCCCCAGGCCCAACAATAGACCACCCTCAAGTAATTCAAGAAAATAAAAAACAGCAACTTGAAGTCACTTCCAAAAACAGACAAGCTTCAAGTTCGTTTGTTTGTTTGTTTGTTTAGCACAATTTAACAACAGTGCAAGGAGGGAATGAAAGCCAAAATGCTTGTACAAGATTCCACTCCCATTCAGAAACTCCTACAAATGGAAAATTCTGGATGAACAGTATAAGTGAAAATTCAAAATAAAATGTAGCTAAAACATTTAATTACAACGACGTTGAAGGGGAAAAATAAGATAAATATGAAAAGCTAGTATAAGATGAATTGTTGTTTCAGTGACTTTTAAACCAGGGATCATCAATCTTTTTGGAGCTGAGATCTTCTTTACTGCTTTGATTTGTTTACACATTTATGAAATAAAAAATGTTATTATTACAATATTATTATGTTGTAACAAGGACTGGGGGGGGTCTAAGTCGACAAAATGACTTTAGCAATTATTAGTTTTGGAGGGACTACGCCAGACTGGAAGGACAAAAGAGAAAATTTAGGTAAGGCGATCATCTATAGTTTCTTTGATGAGAATACTTTTGATACCATCGTAGCTTTGGGTGTAATTTTTTTTTAAGTTTTTGATTATTTCATACACTTAAAAGACAACCGAAGTAAAATTTCAAGTACCATAAATGCTCTAAAACACGGGTAGAGTTGATTAAAAGTGATTGGCGACAAGGGGTTACTATAAATTGGTTTGAGTTTTGCCCTAATGACGTGTCAGGCAAGTAAGTTAGCATGTGATGTCTTAAATTGTTTATAAATTCACTTAATAAAGCACGCCATTTCCTACACCAAGTGAATGCATCAGCGCTGATGCGTTAAAGTGTGCTCGGTTCGCTTCGCTGCGAGTCGTGTGCAAATTCAGTTAGAACGAAGAGTCGGGACAGCCACAGGATCAACCAAAACAAAACCGCCGCTTCATCACATTTGGTGCTAAGACGCCATTTGGACACTTAGCTGCGAGGTGAGTTAGTCCAATTGACGCCCCGCGCTTCAACCTTCTATTCCCTCCCTCAGCAGGACCACCACAGGAGGCGCCATGGCGCTCACTCTCCCGCCTGCCCAGGATGCTAACAGGCTAGGGGGCTAAGCGGGGGCCCACTTTCACGGGGAGAGTCGCAGCTTGAGGCGTAGCGGAATGAAGCGTCTTGGGGCCGCTGGTGCTGCGTCCGGATGCCCCAACTCCCGCTTCCAAATGCTGGCCATCATGCTCTTCTGTCTGTCCGTCCAGGAATGTCAAAATCATTGGAGTTGCCAGACCACATTCATCCCGATTTCAACCATCATCGCCGTGACTTCAAAATTATCCTTGATCACGCATACGTCTTTTGACGGTGATCTTAATCCGTCCGTACACATTGAGCTTCAATTTCAGAAAATTCCCAAATGTATACATTTTTGGAGGTTGCAAATATTTCCAAGTAGGTTTGGAAAATATTCTGTTTTAATGATGATTGACTTTGTTCATCTTCGTCATGTCTTCCTTTTATAATACGGTACAGATTTTTATTAAAATAAAATTATTTTTGCAGTAAAGAGTACCAAATGAAATTGTCAGCAATGTATGAGTTATTCTTGGGAACCACAACGGTTGAAAAATGCGCACGTGATGATCCAAAACATACGAGCAATGTGACATTTCCTCACGCGATCGTGCTGCGTAGCTTCTCTCGCCCCCTACGTTGGAATTGTGCACCACAACAGCAGAGGCGTCGCTTTGAAATGACGCCAGTGGTCAGAAAAGTTCTTGGCGACCAGCTTCATGCACACTTGTGAAAGGAGAAATTTGCTCAAATTATCTTTGATCGCCATAGTGAAATGTGTGATTATTGTGTGAACACACTGATCATGTTCATGAGTTCTCAGAACAATTAGGTGACAAATATCATATGCAACATTTATTCCCTTCAAGTGTCTACATTTTCAAACAATCACATTGTGATTTTCCAGAAATGTTGGTGAAAATATAAACACTGGCAGAGATTTATAGAAAGAAAAATACATTTGGCCAAATGACAGCTCGTATCTTGGAAAGTTGGTAGGTCAGGTCATTTGCGTTTCAAGGCACCACTAATCGACAACAGCCAATGCAGTCACTGCATTTGGGAGCATTCACTCCTTAATCACAGTGAAGGGCTTTTCAGTGGACGTTTGAGGAACTCTTGGTCCATGATAAAATAATCCCTTTTGACAACATGTCGTTGAAGCGCGTGTGTAACGACGTCAGAGCGATGCGCCTTCTGATGTTTTTTTATGACTAGAAACTATGCTTTATTCCATGTCGATGATGAGCACATCAGGTCTTGTTGGCGCGGCGGGACGAAGGCGGCGGGACGAGGAGGACGAGGTCAGCGAGGACATGAGTGGCGTGGAGTGCTTCGGCTGCGGCCGAGCCGGACACTGGATCAAGAACTGTCCCGACGTGGCCAGGGGACACCGGGGCAGGGGACGACCCAGGCCCAAAGGTGGCGTGCGTCTGCGTCTTGTTTCGGTGGCCTTCATGTCGCCTTCACGTCCGATGTCATGAAAAAACAATCGAGCTCACCTTAGGCTCACGTTAGCCCCTTTTGTCGTCTTGTCCTCACGTCACGTTTTCATCTCCTTGTCATCGTGAGGACGACATGTCACATCCTCCCCTTGTTTGCGTTTCAGACATGTTCTGCTATCGCTGCGGGGAACGAGGACATGTGGCCCGAGACTGCGAGAGAACGGAAGACGGTAAGGACACAATCGGTTGATTTCAATGGGGAAATGTGTTTTGCTGTAAAGTGCTCTTTCGAGATAGGAATGACCCAACTGACGACCTTGTCAAGATTCGAATCGTCACTCGTCCCGTTTTTGCAGCGTGAGGGGATTTGTGGTGCGTGCGATTGGCCACTTCAAACTGTGGACGCAGATAGTTCCTAAAATGTCCTGCAAAAATCCCACTGGAATTTGGGGAGGACTTTGTTTTATATTTATTCGTCATTTTGGCGGTTGGCAATCAACATCACGCTCTATTTCTACCACCGACAGAGCTCCAGATGTTGCGTGACTGGTCCCCGGCTGCATTTGTTCAGGCAGTCGTACTGGCAGTATAGCAGCAGTGGCAGTCAAAAGATTTGCAATGGAGCCTGTGATAAAATTCATGTTTATCAGTCAACACTCCATCTAAGTGAATTCACATCTTCCTTTGAGAAAAAAGGACATTAGATACATGCGCCAGGTGGAAAGGTTAGATATTTGCGCCACAAGTGCTTATCGACACACTGATGTGGTTGGTGTGTTTGCAGCGTGTTACAACTGCGGGCGTGCGGGTCACATCTCCCGGGAGTGCCAGGAGCCCAAGAAGGAGCGCGAGCCGCTGTGCTACAACTGCGGCAAGGCGGGTCACATGGCGCGAGAATGCAATCACGCGCACGAGCAGAAATGCTACTCGTGCGGCGGCTTTGGACACATCCAAAAGTGCTGCCACAAGGTTAAATGCTACAGGTGGGCACCGCCGCCACAACGCATCGCCTTCAATGCACATTTGCTTTACAAGTCAAGACACGATTAGGCACCCGAACAAGTATTGTATACATTTCCGTACATACATATGCATGTATAGATGTGTGCGTAGACGAATGCCTGACGCATGTCTGTGTGGTTGTGGGCGTGCGTGTCAGGTGTGGCGAGATCGGCCACGTGGCCATGCACTGCAAGCAAGCCTCCCAGCTCAGCTGCCACAACTGCGGCAAGATGGGCCACTTGGCCAAGGAGTGCACCGTCGACCAGGAAGCCTAGCGCTTGCCCGCTCACCCGCTCGCACGATCGCCCGCCATCTTGGGAGCACCACTTTGGGAGCACCTTTGGCCGATCCATATCATCAGCGCCAGCAGGCGTACAAGCGAACGGGGACTCAAAAACGACAAACTGTTTGGGATTTAGAACAAGGAGATGCGTTTCCATCATCGGATGTCAGGCCTCGCTTATCAAATGAAGTGCGGTCGCACCTGGAAATGCAAGCGTCTCGACTCATGACTTTCCCACACACGAGCCGTCCCTAGGCTGATTTTAGTGTTTTTTTTCCTTTGGGACTTTAGATACAATGAAAAATCTCGATACGCTTCAGGCCCTCATCACTTGACGCCAGCAGCAAGCAATCTGTTCACATTGGTTGCCTTATGCTGGGATAACAAGACAAATTGGTGACACGAATGCGCCGTGAACTTGCTTTGCTAACCTTCAAGAAATTGCCCAGGAGAAAAACGACAAGGAAGGACAAAACATTGGGTACCCTCATGCTTTTATGCCCACTGGTTGCGTATACAGTATGCAGTTTGGGTGGCAGAGAAGCGTATTGCAAAACAACACTTTCTCAATAATTAATTTAAGAAAAAAAATCTGTTTTTTATCATATTTATTTTTAATGTTTTCCAAATTTAGGGATTTTACTTGGTTTTATTTTTTGGAGATTGTACACATTTCATTCCTTTATTAAAAACTCGTTAAACAACCTTACAGAAACTTTTAAGAACCTTTCACTTGGAGGAGAAAAACTTTTTTTTTAACAGGGTCTGAGGGGGATTAATTATTTGTTAGTTTCTATTTTTCAGAGGTTTTTTTTTGGGGGGGGGATTTTGTTTTTCCAAAAAAATGTGTTTTCACAATGATTTTTTGTTTTTCTGAATTTTTCTTTCTGGGATTGGAGCGCATTCAAAACAATATAGACATCTATTCATTCCTTAATATCACAGCTTGCAAACAAATGACCTTGCAGATACGTAGAGCATTCACGAGGAAAAAAAAAACATTTGTTTTATTTTCCCATTAAGATTTATTTTTTTCTGTTTTTCTGATATATTTTTTTCTGGAATTCAATTTTTCAAAAGAAAAAATCTGAAAGGCCGGGAAAAATTTGTACAACAGTAACAGCTGAAAACAAAACGTAATTTTTAAAAGAAACAAACAAAAAATTTCTAACTCAGAATATAACTGAAGTGGGAGGGGGGGGCGGTTGGGATAGGTTAATGGCATTTGCATTCATTCCAATCGGATATGGAATAACGTGAATTGTATTCCGATTCATGAAAGCAAGCAGCCAATCAGATCACACCTTCACGGTTCTGAGGACCCAATCACAGCAGCAGTCCTGAAAAAGATTAATTTTTTCCCCGCCTAAGGTGCTTTGGATTCATGAAAGCAAGCAGCCAATCAGATCACACCTCCACGGTGCTGAGGACCCAATCACAGCAGCAGTCCTGAAAAAAAATCCTTTTTCCCCACCTAAGGTGCTTTTCCCTGCTGTCAAAAGGTCAATGAAAACATTGTAATTTTCGGCTGAAGTTGAGCAAAAGTTATTTTTGTACAATTTGACACATGGCTGCAAAATATCATTTGTTGAAGCTGGCAATAAAGTGAAGGAGGAATGTCTGACTCCTTTTACGGCGACTTCAATTACCGGTTCTGTTTGTAAAAAACTAATATTCCGTATCTTCGGGCGGGAGGCGGAGTAGTGGTTGCCAGCCAATCGCCGGGCACACAGACAAACGACCATTCGCGGTCACAGTCCAGCCAAACCGTGGGACAATTTTAAGAGTACAGTATTCCATGAACCTATCACACACGTTTTTGGAATGCGGGTGGAAACCAGAGTATTCAGAGAAAAGCCACACAGGCACGGGTTCCACACAATAATGGAATTAAAATTGATATTTTTGAAATTTTCCATACAAGTCGTAATTGTGATGAGGAGGTATTGAGAAAGTCCCCGGGGAATCTCTTTACGGAGGTGCATTGTTTTGGAGGAAACAAAGGGCAAACTCAATTTTACGGTAAATTGAAAAGTTCTCCAAAACGTTTCTGCTGTGGAAAAGCGTTTGTAGTTTATTTAGCTCCCGTAGGGGGCAGTAGTTTGAACGCCCGGCGCTCGGCGTCTCATGAATCCGGAAGTATAGGAAGCTGTGGACTCGACGACACTTCCTGTTTTTGTTGGCGTGATTTGGACGTTTTGGTGAGGTTTATTCCAGAAGGCAATTACCAATTTAGCTCATCGATAGCGTCTGAAAGTCTACAGCGGCGATGGTAAGGACTGCTTCAAATCTCAATTCAGTTTATAAACATTTAAATGTCACAAATATTAAGTAGGAGTCTGAAGCTAACCCCCTAGCATCGCGCTACTTGCAGTCGTGTGACTCTACGAAAGATGATTTTGAGTTTGCATTATCGTCGATGCTGCTGTTTAGATTCATTCTAATTAGGAGCCGAAGCTTCCACTGAGTTGAAGTAATGAGACGAATGTGTTCGTTTAGCTTACGTCGTTACAGCTTGATCATCTGGTCAATGTTAAATTCTCAAATTTGTGGACGAGATTCTCGTGCGCACCAACACTTAGCATACAGACGCAAGTTGAAAACACTTTTGTTGTGTGCAAGTCACACTTGCAGTGTTGACACTTTTCTCTTGATGATGAACTACGGAGCCACATATATTACACGGGACAAAAGAAAGAAATCTAAATATGATCATATAAATAGCACATAAAACGCGAATGTCTTTCCCTTGAACATCTTGGACGCGTGAGTAATTTAATCGAGGGCGTCTACTTGAGCGTTGTGCGAGGAGGGGCGCTCCATCTGCTTACACAACCGTCCCACGATTATGTCGATGTCAATCATTCGTGTTATTGGCCATAAATGCGCATTTTTTTTTTTAGCGAATACAAATATTGTTGTCATTTGTGATTGAGGAGAGGAGGGGGGTAGTCTAATGTTGCTTGATGACACATTTGGCACCCTTTTGTTTTTACACAGGCTCGAAATGCTGAGAAGGCCATGTGAGTACGCACAAACACAAACACTCATGCTGGTACAGTGACAATTGGTCAGGATCCACACGTAGTTCCCTGTGCAGCCCAGGTCATCTAGGATGCTCTTTCGGTAGTCCAACTCAAGGCGTTCAGAGGACTTGAGGACAGGCCTGTAGTCGTTCAGTCCCTAAATTGCAAGTTTCTTGGGCACTGGGATAATGGTGGAACGTTTCAAGTTCCAAAGATCTCTTGAAGATCTGAGTGAAGGCCGAGCGACCCTGGAGTCTTACTTATGCTTTGTTGCTTGAAGAGCCGACTCATGTCCTCTTAAGGCAGGAGACAGGTCGTGGTTGGGGTAGGCAGGCGTGGGGTGTCAAAGTGTCCTTTTCCAATCTGCAGTCTTTTTTTTTCAGGACGGCCTTGGCTCGTTTCCGACAAGCTCAGCTGGAGGAAGGAAAAGTCAAGGTTGCAATTTACTCACATCTTTCATGCGCTTGACATCTTTCATTATTTCCCTTCTTTTACTCTTGAGGATAACTTTGCTACATGCGTGTGCAGGAGCGTCGTCCATTCCTGGCGTCCGAGTGCAATGATCTTCCGAAAGCTGAGAAGTGGAGGAGACAGGTTCCTCCCACTTGCATATCAGCACATAACTGACCACTGGCTTGATGGCCTGCAATTAAAACGTGTGTTGCGTGTGTTTCAGATCATCAGTGAGGTTTCGAAAAAAGTTGCTCAGATCCAAAATGGTGAGTCGAAGCAGAAGCAGCATCAATCTCTCTGTCCGTCCATCTGTCTGACATGTCTCTCTTTGTGTGCGCGTGAATCTGTGTGGTTGTGCGTTTGTGCACAGCGGGTCTGGGCGAGTTCAAGATTCGAGATTTGAACGACGAGATCAACAAACTGCTGAGGGAAAAACGGCACTGGGAATATCGCATACGGGAACTGGGAGGCTCCGACTACAAGGTTGGCACCGCACCGTACATGTCATCAAAAGTCGCACCTGACAATCATTACTCATGGCGCGTGTGCGTTAGCGCTACGGCCCCAGGATGCTGGACCACGAAGGTCGGGAAGTTCCTGGCAACCGAGGCTACAAATACTTTGGTGCAGCCAGAGATCTGCCCGGAGTGCGAGAACTCTTTGAGAAAGAACGTAAGTGCGCGCACCCACGCTGACACGCTGACAAGATGTGATGGGCAGGTCACGTAATGTACCACCAAATGCTCACTTTGCCACATGTGTGTTTTGCATGTCCGTTGTGTGTTGTCTGCAATTATGTGTTTGTGTTGCGTGTTTTGGTGGCTGATGGCCAGCCGCCCCCGAGCTGCGCAAGACTCGCGGCGAGCTGATGAAGGACGTGGACGCCGAGTACTACGGCTACCGAGACGAAGACGACGGCGTCCTGGTTCCGCTGGAGATGCAGCACGAGAAACAAGGTGTCATTTTGCTCGCTAGGCGGCGCTGACATTCGGCAAGCTTTGTGTACACAGACGGCTGTGTGTGTGTGTGTGTGTGTGTGTGTGTGCGTGCGTGCGTGCGTGCGTGCGTGCGTGCGCGTGCGCGCGCGCGTGCGTGCGTGTGTGTGTGTGATAGAGAGCTGAGAGAATGAATGAATGTCAATCCGGGAGTGAGTGAGTGTGTGTTTCATCTATTTTCTTTATTTTTTTATTTTTTAATTTTTTTTAAATACACCTTTTCGTCATTGAACATTAAATTAGTGCCTGGCCAATTAATTAACCAGTCGATAAAATCACTCAGTACCATATAGGACATAGATAAAGAGAGCTAAACATCAATCTAAAAAAAAAAAAAAAAAAAAATTCTGTTATATTCTGCTCAGATACTGGTTGGATGGATAAAGTTAAAGCAAATGCTAAATGACAAAGTATTCAGTTTCATTTTTGCTTCGAGGTGGTAAAAGTGGCTCCTTTAGCACCTAGTCTGCCTAATGACAACAACTGTTCATTTTTTAGTGACAACATTTTAGTTTAGAAAATGTACAAGTAGGGAAAATGGCTGTTTGGCTCTGAGAGAGAAGTTTAGGAGTTTGCTTTCTCAAGATGAAACTATTCGCCAGAAATGCTTGGAATTTATTATCGGGAGCACGGAACAGAACATCCAGCAACAGCTGTTTGTATGTGATTGTCATTTCTCTGAGGAATTGGACTGCGTGGCTCGCAAACCTTGGCCAGTACCAAATTGGATTGGCCGCGAGATTAACCCTTAAATTTGGCATAATATGTCAAATGTATTTTGTTGTATAAAAAAAAATCAACTCACTTGTGACACACATGTGAAAGTGGAATCAGTCTCATACTCCATAATGGCTCGACCCTAGTTTGAATATACCCGCCTGTGTGTGTACATGTAGCGGTGTCTGAAGCAGTGCACAAATGGAGGACGGATCGCGAATTTCTTCCTTCAGGGGACAACAAAGTCCCACAAGAGGAAGAGGAGGAGCCCAGCATCTACTCTGTCAACAACCTGGAGGTCGTGATCTAAGAAATGAACTTGTCACATGACCTTTGCTACGACACAACACCTCCTGCACACATAGCACCATTAATGTTATGTGTGCGCATTTGTTTTGTGTGTGCTAAGTTTGTTTTGTCTTTTTTTTTTTTTTTTTTATCCGCAGCCCGAAGAGGACGAGTGCGCTCAGGATAATCTGGAGGAAGACGAAGAGGGCGTGTCCTTCTTCGCGCACGTGCCTGTTCCCTCACAGAAAGAGGTAATGTGCACAAACAAGACATCAAACACACGCACCGCTCACCCGCTTGTTGATTGCGTGCACGTGTGCATCAGGTGGAGGAGGCTCTGGTCCGCCGGAAGAAGATGGAGCTTTTGCAACGTTACGCCAGCGAAACTCTACAGCAACAAAGTCTGGAAGCCAGAACGCTGCTTGGACTGTGACACACATGCACACACACACACACACACACACACACACACACACACACACACACACACACACACACACACACACACCTGTCTGTCATCAGCAATGGTGTCGCAACAGCGATAGCCGTCATTCCCAGGACGTTTTCAAATTGTATTTTTTATTTTATTTTTTTCAATAAAAGTTGATGGCGGTCAGACCGGAAGCGATTTATGACAAACGTGATTTACTGGTGACAATGCAGATTTTCTGGCCGGGGGGGGGGGGACATGAGCCGTGACTGGTCATTACCTGAGCCCTGTGGTGATCTCATTTTCACTGACTAGCAAGTGGCTTTACAACACAAAAATGGCCACCCTTGATGTGGACAAAAATGGCTGGATTCATTCCTAGTCCCCGAACGTAAGATTAATCAGAATGACGTCTTTAAACCAGGCGCATAAAACATATTGTCCCAAAAAGTTTTGACTTCCCCTTTAAAGTCAGGGTGCATATAGACAGTTGACTGGTCGCCACTGAGCGCTCGTCCAAGAAGCAGGAGCCCCGGGTGGGAGGCAAATGCACTGATCTCTCGTCAGCCGAGGCATATAGTGAGCGCGTGGGTCTTGGTCACGCGTCTTCAATGTGGCGGCCGATGAGTTGATTGGTCCCAGCGTGCTGTAGCATGTGACGAGCGGCGGCACATGTGATGGGTCACGCTTGAGGTGGTGGCGGCGGCGAACTAACCCAAGTCAGCAGCATTTAATCAGATACAAGCAGCCCTCTGTTTGTAAGTGCTGGCCAGTCGGGCCAAGATCAGCGGACAAAAGCCATGTGCTTTGTGCTTTGCTTTGCTTTGCTAAGCTATGCTATGCTTAGCTTTTAAAGCTCATAGTCACATGTTAGTTTTTAGCCCGTAGAATGAGATACATGCTAACGTGTGTGTGCGTGTCTGTGTGTTAGAGAGAGCGAGTGCGCGTTAGTGTGTGTTTGTGTGCGCGAGTTAGAAAATGAGGAATGTGCCAATGACGTTGACATGGTAACACAGCGACGCTGCAGTCTGATTGGATGAAAAGTGAAAGGCAACCATGCGGGAATGAGCAAAGCGGCCCGATCAGCCTGCCAGGGCTCGCATCGCTCCGATTGGCTGCCGTGTGGTAGCCCTACCCCCCCGGCTATTATGTCACACAACAGAACTTCTATAAGAAGAGCGGCAGCAGGCACTTGTCGTCTTCATCATCATCGTCATGTGGTGCGCTCGCCTGCAGCACGCGCTCAGGACGGTGGCGCGCTGCACCAACACTCTGCAGGTCAGTGTGTTTGTGATGACAACATGAATGAAAGAACTGAAAAACATTTGTAGAAAACAAATGGTCGGAACTTGGGGTGTAGTATTGGACTTCAGCGATGATGGAAGACAGAAGCCGACTGGACGGGCCTTACATTTCTTCTGCCCCGGTAACAATAATCAATTGGTCGATGGTAATGTGATTTGAAAGATGAGCTGACTAGAAGGGTCTGTTCTAACTTGATTACGTTTCAAAAGTTGAGTCTTAGTACTTAGTAAATGTTGCCTTGAGTTTCAGTTGCGCTTTGGGGCTGTTAACGCTCAGTCAGTCAGGGGAGATGAGATGGTTTGATCGACAGGAGTCGCCTAGACGGACAGGTGTGTTGCCCTGTGATGTGCTGGCAGCAGCAGCGGTGCGATGCGGGCATCCTGCTGGACGTGGACGGTGTGCTGGTGCGCGGCGGCTCCGTCATCCCGGCGGCGCGGCGAGCCTTGCGGAAGCTGCTTGACCACCGCGGTGACTTCCTGCTGCCTGTCGTCTTCCTTACCAATGCCGCAAGTTGTCGACCTGAACACAAAGCGCAACAGCTGTCGTCGCTGCTTGATGTGCAGGTGGGTGACGTCTGAATGTGCGTGTTTTGGGTGCATCGTGATTGGACCAAGGTTGTGACCTGTGTGCGCAGATTAGTCCAGATCAAGTGATTTTGTCGTACAGTCCTCTGCAAGCGTTAACGAGTTTCCACGACAAATGCGTGTTGGTGTCTGGACAAGGACCAATCACGGACATCGCGCACACGTATCCTTGCCTCAGTTGGACTGGGTGCCGCCCACGACTTTGTCCCCGAACCAGCCCTTGACCACCACGAGTCAGTTTGGGTTTCAAGAAAGTGGTGAGCATGGAGCAGCTCCGAGAACAGCACCCCCTGCTGGACATGGTCGACCACAGCAGGAAACCCAAAGCAGCCGTACGTCCGCCACCGCAATACACGACACTGAATTTACTTGTACGCCAACATCACGTCACGTATATCAAAGCTCAAGAATTTGTCACGTACAAAATGTACAAAACAACATAGGCTTATGCAAAGTAAACACTCCATCTGTGAAGTCCATGTGTCAAGAAAAAAAATTGACATGAATAAAATATGCAAAGTAAATACAGTAGTTGACGTATAAACGACACTGACGAGTATACTGTACAGGAATGTAGAAAGTATTAAATGTACTGTATTTACAAAGTGTAGGTAAATGTATTAACTTAATGTTTGAAGTAAAAAGTACATATTCGAAGATAAAAAGTTTCAACTTAAAAGTATCGAGTAGCCCTAGATGTGCGACCAAAATATATAGTTCATATACAGTGTCGTTTTTTATTTTTATTGTTTTTAGTAAATCATCAATTAGAATTCTATGGCTGCAATCCGTTCACCCCCAAAATCTGGGACACGGTCATGTGTTACATCACCTTTTTTTTCCAACAACGTGAAGTAAACGTCGGTTCTTTTGTGTTGCAGTCAAACATTGCGCACACGTTTCCCCCAATTGAAGGTAAGAGCAACAATCCTTGGAGCCCATTCGCCACTGATTGCGGTTTCTTATATTGCTTTGTGTAATGCGGGTTTTCGGCAGCCGTGCTGCTGTTTGGCGAGCCCGTGCGCTGGGAGACCAATCTTCAGCTGCTCGTGGATGTGTTGCTGACCAATGGACGTCCGTCGGCTGCTTATGATTGGTCACCGGCCCAGCTGCCCGTGCTGGCCTGCAACATGGACTTGCTGTGGTTGGCCGAGGCCCCCTCGCCGCGGTAATAAAAATATATATATAATTGAACTCCTCAAAAATACCTTACAAACATGGGTACAAACATGCATGCATTCCTGACGTCACCAAAGTAAACATCGGAGTGTCGTGCAGGGTGGTCAATTGGTCGTGTGCTGTGTCATTTTTGGCCACCAGGGGACAGTATTAAGACAGTCGTGCAGACACGAAGCCAAAACATTCATGCCACATTGAAGTCTTGATGCGGAAGCGTGGAGCAAAACTTTTTGAATGGCAAATGCGTTCGAAAGTACTCGCCAGTGGATTCAAACATACTCGCAATTAAGTTTGAAAGTACTTGTCGGCAAAATATATAAATGTAGCACTTTTTGAATGGCAAATGCGTTCGAAAGTACTCGCTAGTCGATTCAAACATACTCGCAATTAAGTTTAAATTTTTCCCATAATGCCATGCGCAAGTTAAAAAAAAGAAGCTAGTTTGTTTTTCCCATAATGCCATGCGCAAGTTAAAAAAAAGCTAGTTTCTAGCATTAGGTCTACATTATATTTTTATCTATATTATATCTACATTGTTTTTTTCGTTTTATTTATTTATTTGTTTTTTTTTTCAGATTTGTCTGTAATGCATTTTTTTCCGTTCGTCATTGTTTCCCCACAATGCCACGGGTTATTGATTTCTGCATGCGAATACTTGTAGGAAAAATTTCCAATGTAAATAATACACTGCAGACATAATGGACCCATACAATTGTGAATAAACTATGTTTACTTAATTTTTGAACATATTGTTATAATATAGTCCAAATGATACTTTTATTCTGTTTTTTTTTTTAATCGCGCATTTGCAAGTCAATATTGGCAAATGTGAGTTTTATGTGACGACAAGACTGCATGTGGCATGTATGTGTGCTTGTGTGGGTGGTCAGTTTTGGCCACGGCATGTTCCTGCTGTGCTTGGAGTCGGCGTACAAGAAGTTGACAGGACGGGAGCTGAGCTACTGGGCGCTGCTGGGGAAACCCAGCCTGCTCACCTACCGCTTCGCCGAGCATGCGCTCACGCGCCACAACGACCACCGCAAGGTTCAAACCATCTACGCCGTCGGGTAAGCGCAACAGCGCACCTCTATGGTGGCACTTGCATCCAATTTGAGCTTTGTACACATTATTGTTGCCATATTGTCACACATAGATAGTGTTATAATACTCAAATACTGTAGCTTGAACTCTGTGAAGATAATGTCAGTGACAGTTGTAACACTGGCAACAGAAAATCCAAGGCTGTTCACGTAATCTTAATAATCAGATTGTGGTAATGTGCGTATTGGTATACTGTAACACAATTAAAACGACAGTGAAATAAGACACATTTATGTAATCAAAAAGAAGTCAAAGAAGGTGGCAATTACACAATCCTCCAAATGTTTTTCAGCGATAATCCGATGACAGATGTTTACGGCGCCAACCTTTACAATCGCTACCTGGCTCAGCAGCATCGTGCGCCCCCCGCCCACGCCAGGATGCTGGCCCAGGGAACGGCCAATCAGCCGGCCGTGGCCTGGCCCTCTGATGAGCCGGCGTCTGCCACCGTGTGCTGTCAATCCATCCTGGTAGGTGGCGACCCAGCACATCACGTCACGCCATCAGAATCGAAGATTCCCATTTGAGAGACGGCTCGACTGTCAATGGAATAGTGTGCTGCAAACACCCCATGGGCTTGAGCAGCGACTATATTCACTTAAAGCTTGCAGTGGCAGGAATACTTATCACTTTGAGTTGTTGTGGGGTGACAACGAGGCGCTCAAAAGCGGCCACGCAAGCACCAAGGCCCGGGCCGTACACACTGGCTGTCAAGTCATATGTTGCATTGTTACAAAGAAAGAACGGCCAGGTTTGGAAGAAATCCTGTTCGCACCGACACAAAAGAATCAGAAAGAAAAAAAAGAGGCCAACTCAGCCGCAGTGTGAACATGGCCTGCATTGAAGCGCTTTTGGTGTTTGGTGATAGTGGTGAAGTGGGAAAAGACATGCTTTGACGCCTTCTGTCTCTGCTGTGGTCAGGTGTGCACGGGTGTGTACAAGCCGGCGTCGGCGCCCGCCCAGGAGAACGTCTTCCTGCATGGACATCGGGACATGAGTGCCGAAGCCAGCCTGCTGGAGCCCGCCTTCGTGCTGGAGAACGTGGAGGCCGCTGTCGACCTTGTGCTCCGCCGACACCTCTGACCCTGCTCACTATCGCTCGTGATACAATCATGCCAAAGGACAATCTTGTGTCCTCCGTGGACAAACGGGGCTCCCGCAGTTCCCCCCCCCCCCCCCCCCCGTTATGCCAGCAAAAATGTCAAGTTTACACAGGAAGGCTGCAGTCTAGATTGGAACTCTCAACCTCACAACACTGCAGCAGCCATTATCCAATGGGTGCGGTCCTTTTGTTGACCGAGTTGTCAAGGGATTTTATGAAGAGGCTTGTTTTGGGGGTCACACCTGAAGTGCCATGTCTGCAGCAGGATTGGAAACATCAACATTTGCCAAATTGGACTTCTGACATCACAAAACAACTTTGGATCGTAATTGACTCCCCGCCTTAATTCTGTAAACTAACATGTTCATGCGAAAGACTGTATTCAATGTAATGTAAAACTATTGTTTACAAGCAAGTGTGGAATATATGCACATGGTATTTATTGGATATTAATTCTAATTCTCTAGATGCTTGAAAGTTCATGATGTTCCAAGTGAGTTTTTTTAATTTTTTTTATAACTTTCTATTTTTACCTTTAATTATTCAAGAAATAACTATGTACATGCAGTGTTTTCTTTCTTAAAAAATAAATAAACCCTTTTCTATCGATATATTATTCTAATGCGCAAATGGTTCTCAAATTACCTATACAGTACGGCATTTTCTCATGTTTTGTCTTCTTGGACAAAAAAAAAAATCATCAATATTCAATCATTCTTTTGATTGACGTCTATTATTAATAAACTAATATCATCACTCAAGGTATGCGTCATTCAACTTGTTTTTGATCATCACAACTCTTTTGGGGGGGAAAAAAAAAACTTTTGTATCGCCTTCTGCTGATTCTCAAATATATCCTTTTCCATCTTACTTACAGACACCGACTGCTAAGGGGGTTTGCCTCACAGTACAAAGTTGTGGGTTCGAATCCAGCCGGCTTCCTGTTTGGAGTTTGCACGTTTCTCCTGTGCTTGCGTGATTTTTTTCCTGGTGAGAATGATTCTGTGTCAATACTGTATATCGGTGGTGACCAGTTCAGGGCGGACCCCACCTCTTGCATGACAAGAGGACAACCTCAGGCAATCCATCACTAGCAGAAATGGGTGCCATTTATGGATGAGTGTTTCTCAATGTATGGACTGTGTTGCATATTTGGGTTGTGTTATTACAGTCGTTACTCTATTTTTTCATACATTGCTATTGCTCTCTCGCAATATATTAGATGTGTTTGTATTGTGTTTTAAAGTGTGTAAAATACCTCACCAAATGTTTTAAGTGTCCAAAATGCAACAGAAAATATGCATGTTATTAAATAGGGACCCCAAATATTCTTTTATTTGCGGATGTGGTTTTTTTTTGTTTTTTTACTTGGGGCACAAACACCCACTTTTTTTGTGGAAAATGCTGAATGGTGGGGTTTCACCGCATATTCTGGAATTTTGAGGGGATAAAAAATAAAATATCTCCATTCTTTTTCTCAATAAAATTATAACAGGCGTTCGGGTTGGACCCAGTCCCTATTCAACGTGGATTGCGAGGGTCCACTATATTTCACTTGTTGGGGGGTGGGGGGATAACAACCACGATGGAGGGGAGATGGTTTTTCTTTATTTGCGAGGGTTGATAATCCACCATTAAATTACAGAATATATTGCTTTTCAAAACGCCTGCGAGAAAAATAAAAGCCGTCTCGCAAAACAGACGCGTCGTCGACCTGCTAGACATGGCGGCTGAGGCGTGACACACATGACCCGGAAGCGTGGCAGTGCGCGCGCTTGCGCAGTCGCTCTTTTCTCTCCCCTGTAAAGATGTCTGAGCTGGCGGGGAGGGAGCGGAGCGGAGGACCCCGAATAGAGAGGCAGAGCCCGCGACTCGAAGCCGTTCAAAGAGTCCAGGTAAGGCAAAACGGTGCGCTGGAGCCGCTCCGACACCACCAGAGTGCGTCGGAACCTTCCGGCTTTGAAATGAGCCGCAGCAAGGGCTCGCGCGTTGGCCCAGTGGGCAGTAGGGGTTCGAAACAGTGCGCAGGACGCGCAACGCTGTGGCAGGGGCGTGTCCGCCATCTTGTCTGAGTACGAGTGGCGCCCAAACGGCAGCGGTTCCCGACGGACAAGATGGCAGCCGGCCCAATTCATGCCGCCATGCCCGAGCTGCGCGCGTCTCGCTCGGCGGGCGGAGAATATAGTATCCGGACGGGCGGGCGGCCCGCGCCTTTTGTCGTCCTCCCCGCCTTTCGCCGTTCTCCTGTTTGGCTCGCTTCCCTCCTGCTCGTCGTTTTCCTCCTCCTCCTTGTTTAGCGACAGGCGCCGCACTGCGCATGCGTGTAACCATGGCGCTCCTTTCTGTGGCCGGGAAAGGAAAACAACAATTGAGCGAACCTCTTCGCTCGGCCTTTCCAATTCGCACGGCCGCGCGGTCGTCGGTCGTGGCTGTACGTTTTCGTTGCGATGGTTCTGACCCGTTCTGACCGAGCGTACGGATATGTTGCTGCTGTTACTGCAGTTGCCGCCACCCGGAGCTCAGCTGGCGGCTTATGGCGGTTTTTTCTTTCGCCTTGACTCGTCTTGTCATACACATCGTCCTTTCGATATGAACGCGAGGCAACGAAAGTCCAATGTGCACTCCTCCACGTGCCCCTGTATCATAACACACACACACACATACACTTGTTTAAATCAAAACAAAATCAAAATAATCAAGCAGATGCAACTGTTAGTTGAGCGTACCTGATGTGTGTACAGCCTGCAGTCTACAGCGGACGTTCCTTTTCGTGTTCAGGGCCGCAACTACCAAAGGTGACTTATATCGATTGAATGAACGAATCGAATTTTTCAATATCTAAAACCGGAGACATTTGAAACGTTCAATGCAAAAACACATATTATGGTTCAGTTCCTGGTTTGATCCGTAAAAATGTCAGAAAAATGTTGATCATTGTTCGTCTTGATTACACAGTCGGGCTTCAAGAAGCCAAAACCACAAGTGTAAAACGCAAACAGAAAATATGCATCCCGGTACTTAGATGAACAAAACGTATGCAAAGTGGGAGGGATGTAACACGAACTGATAAAAATCGGTTTTGATTCAACCGAATGGGTACGTTTGTCCCGTCCTTGAATCATATTTCACTCCCATTACTCGAGATATGTATCGACTCGTATTTATGAGAGATTATCTTATATCAACCGAAAAAATTAATTGATAGATTAATCAGTTAATAGGAAGCAACTCTAAAATTTGAAATGTGATCGTATCAGCTGATCTTAGTCGTGGATGATCAGATTCGGCGGGATAAAACCGGAAGAGCCCTGCTACAAATAAGTCGGCTCATTCATATCACAAGGCACCACTGTATGTTAACTTATTAATAAAGATCAAACCCTCATTGTTTTGTTTTGTTTTTCTTTGCCATCAGGATCAGTTTGACGGTGTTGTCTTTGTTGTGGCATCAGGTCGATCAATGTGCTTGTGACGAGCAGCCGAGATGTCCAATGAGAGCCAGGCATCGCTGAAAGGGGAGGCGGCCATGGTGCATTCACCCAGCGCCTCTGCTGCTTCACATGGCCCGCCTCTCTCGCCTTCCACCGCCAAACCGCCTGAACTGCCAGGTGCCTGTCTGTTGCCTGTCTCGCTCTCTCCATCTCGCAACTCTTTATCGCTACCTGTCTCCATCACCAGGCTGTCTGTCTCAATTGTGTCTCGGCTATCTGTCTGTCTCACTTGCCTTTCCCACTATCAGCCTCTCTTACCAGTGTCTTTTCATCAGCTGTCTGCCTGTCTCACTCTCAGCTGTCTTTTTGCGTGTCTGGACTGTTCTTTCATCATTCTGTCTCTGACTGTCAACTTTCTGCCTGTCTGTCAGCTGTCTAATTGACACCTGCATGTCCCTCACTCAACACAGTCTCTTTGTGTCAGCCGTTTGGCGTCCCTGTACGAGTGTCTCACCCATCTGCCGCCCATCTCCTCGCAGATGAGCTGATCCAGGCGGGTTGGTCCAAGTGTTGGTCTCGGCGGGAGAACCGTCCTTACTACTTCAACAGGTTCACGAACCAGAGCCTGTGGGAGGTGCCAGTGTTGGGCCAGCATGACGTCATTGTGAGTGGCCGAGGCGCAGCTCATCAACCCGAGCCAGTGGCAAATACTGCATGTTCCAAGCTTAAAAAAAACAAAAAACTGTTGTTCAAGGCGCGCACCTCAATATACGTGTGTTTATATCTCTGTCTGTCTGTGTGCAGTCGGATCCTTTAGGCCTGAATGCCGCTCCAGCAGAGGGTGCCGACGGTAACCTTGGCAACGGCCAGAGGAAGAGGCGGAGCTCTGAGGAGCAGGTGGCCGGCCCCAACAGCCTGAAACGGGCAAAGGTAAGCGTGGTCCTTTTGTCCCCGCCACGCATCAGCACAACGGGTGTCCTCTTATGGCACGCGTGTCTCATTCAGGCTGAGCCCACCACGCCCATTTCACCCAGCACACCCGGCGCCAAACCCTGGAGCGCTCCCCCTGATGACAAACAAGGTGCAGGGGTCGTGGCGCCGACCACTCCTACCACACCGAGCCCCGCCCCCGCGCCCTACAGGCCGGCCATGTAAGTCAAAATGTCGGACGGGATGCCGTAGGGGCCGTAAAGCGGTGTTCCTCAAACCTTTGACACTGAGTACCACACCAAAAAGTATTTGTCTTGTACTCCAAGCACCACTCAAATAATTGCGTATGTCAATGTTCGCCGCATGGATGCTAGTGTGGTGGTTGATTTTTATTTATGTTTATTTTGTGATGATCTTACAGCGTCTACTGGGATCTGGACATCCAGACCAATGCCGTCATCAGAGAACACCCGCCCGCCAAGCACCTCCCCCCGCACCCCGAGATTGAGTTGCAGAGAGCTCAGCTGGTCACCAAACTCAGGCAACACTACCATGAGCTCTGTCATCAGAGAGAAGGTACGCACAATCACAAACTGCCCTGGCGTTGCTTTGGCCTTTTAGTCGCATGTGCTGTGTGTGAGATGACGCCTCTTGTGTACACGCGTGTGTGTTTGTGCATGCGCCCGTTGGCGGCAGGCATCGACCCTCCTCGGGAGTCGTTCAACCGCTGGCTGCTGGAGAGGAAGGTCCTGGACAAAGGTTTGGACCCCATGTTGCCCAGCGACTGTGAACCTGTCATCTCGCCGTCCATGTTCAGAGAGGTCATGAACGACATCCCCATCAGGTTGCTTCGCGTCGGCCCAACGACGACGACCATCCATGACAAATGTCCAAATTGACCCCAGGGGGCCTTTGTGTTGTGCGGCAGGCTGTCTCGCATCAAATATAAGGAGGAGGCCCGTAAGCTTCTCTTCAAGTACGCCGAAGCGGCCAAGAAGATGATCGACTCCAGGCGCGTGACACTTCTTCCGCCCAGGAGTTGCCGCACTCGCACGCTAACACGCGACCCCTTTCCACCACAGGAACGCCAGCCCGGAGAGCAGGAAGGTGGTTAAATGGAATGCCGAAGACACCATGAGCTGGTTACGTAGGGACCACTCGGCCAGCAAGGAGGACTACATGGTATGCACTTTTTTTGCTCTTTATCCCTCTCTTTCTGTCTTTCCTTTTCAAAGTCTTTCTCGCCTTTCTCTCTCTTTATCCTTTTTTTCACCTCTCCTCACTCTCTGACTCTCGTCCTATTTATAAGACAAGAAAACCTTTATCACAATGGAGAAATTCCCAATTTACAGCAGCAAAATTATGAAAGGGAGAAATTAGAAGACAAAAAGTGTATAAATAAATATAAATATAAGCATATTCAAAATGGGTGGGTAGGGATGAGTCCAGGTTTTCAGGACAGTCTATTCAGTAGCCTGACAGCAGTCGGCAGGAACGAGGAACTTTCTCTTTTCTCTCTCATATTATTTCTCCTTTTCTCTTTTCTCACTCCGCTGTCCTGTCTTTTTTTTCCCCCCACACTCTCTTCTCTATGATCGCTGGTGTCGGGCTGAAACGGAATCAAAATTTTCCCACATCCATATTATTGGTCAGTCTATATGTGTGGGTGTTATTTTGACACATTTTTGTACCAATCTAAAGTCTTCAAAATGGCTTGCGTCCTTTGACAATGAAATTTGGGGGAGATCTACTGAAAAGTGACTATTTTGGAGGCGCAAGGATTCTGCCCAACGCCATCGATTTTCTGTCTTCTTTTTTCTGTCCTGGTGTTTCTCCCTCTCTCTATTGCTCACACACTCACAATTTCACTGTCAAATAGACACACTCGCACGTCTGAGGTCTAGAATGAGCTGCAGTGTTTGTGACAAATGTTGCTTCAACTCGTAACTCCGCCACTGCCCAACACTGCATGTACGCACACCCGTATGCACTTGTTGATGAGTGGCGTGGCCTCGTTGGCACAGGACCGTCTGGAGCACCTCCGCCAGCAGTGCGGTCCTCACGTGACGGCCGTGGCCAAAGACTCAGTGGAAGGAATCTGCTCCAAGATCTACCAGCTGTCGTCTGAGTACTGCAGACGCCTTCAACACACGCACCTCAGCCTGCTGCAAGACCCACCCACAGGTGCACGCACACACACACCCATTCTTCACTGAAAGTTGGGTTCTGTTTTTTTTTTTTTCTCAAATTCAGTTTTATGTATACAAATTCAAATCTTTTCCATATAGATTCAGTTTGCTTGACTTTTCACATGCAGTTTTACAAGTAAATTCAGGTTTTCAATGTGCAAATTCATTTGTGAAGATTTGCTTAGTTTTGACTGACGGGTTTATAAAATTTATCTAGTGAACAAATTTCACGAATATATATATATAGATAGATATATATATATAGATATATAGATATAGATATCTATATATCTATATCTCATATAGATATATATATATCTATATATATATATATATTCTTTCCCACCCATACAAGGCTATGGTATAGATTTTTGTATTATAAATAATCAGACCAGTGTTCCTTTTGTACAATTGCTGTAAATGTTTAGAAGACATCAAGGTGAAACCCATTTGGCCAATTTTTGTTGGGCTGGTCTGGCCCTAGTTGGACGAAATATCATTGTTATAATATCATGCATGTAATATGAATATAATGTGTTATGTGTTAAGATGCGTCCTCGTCTTCCTCGTCCCCGTCGCCGTCTTCGTCCCGCCTGGTGTACTGTTACCCGTTGCGTTTGGCGCGGCCGTCGCCCCCGCTCCCACGCGTGGAACTCCACTTCGAGAACGACGTGGCCTGTCTGCGATTCCGAGGGGAGATGGTCAAAGTCAACAGGGGACACTTCAGCAAGCTGGTCAGTTCTCAAGGCCACTTGAGTAAAAGTACTAAAACAACTACACGCACTGAAGTCATTCCCTTCTTCAGTAAAAGTACACAAGGTGCACACTTGCACCTAGAGGTGCAACCTTTCATGGATCCATCGACAACTAATCTAATAATTAATTGGCAACTATTTTGATATTCAATTAATTGTTTGGAGACATTGTCACACTGAAACTTGCCCAAATCCTGCAATTTCAGGCTGTCCGCAGTAAATATTTTCCAATTTTAGTCATCCTTCATGAAAGCAGACTTATCAGTGTGTATTTTCAAAATAGGATACTGACAAACTTCTGCTACCTTAGAAAATAATCAGCATTGTTGATTTTCTGGATGTTCTCTGATGTTATGGACCAAACCATCAGCGATTTATGTTAATAAGAAGAAATAATGTCCTGCTTTGGAATGATGGTATGGAAATATTTTTTCATCCGATTCATTGATTAATTGACAGATTAATCGATTACAGTTAGTTGCAGCACTAACATTGTATGGTGTGTGTGTTTGTGTGTGTGTCTAGGAGCTGCTGTACAGATACAGCTGCATCGATGACTCTCGCTTCGAGAAATTCCTGTCACGGGTTTGGTGCCTGCTCAAGCGATATCAGGTCAGCTGATGTCCTGCCCACCAATCAGACTCTGTTCTGACAAATGATTGGATGACGCCTTCGTGCGTGCGCAGGTGATGTTCGGCAGCAGTGCCAACGAGGGTACGGGACTGCAGGGGGCGCTGCCGGTGTCTGTGTTTGAGGCTTTGAATCGGCAATTTGGTGTTTCCTTCGAGTGTTTTGCATCGCCGCTCAATTGCTACTACAAGCAATTCTGCTCCGCCTTCCCCGACACCGACTGCTACTTTGGCTCCCGAGGGTAAGATGCACACGCGTACCCGTCTGCCTGCGTGGTTGCGTGATGACATATGTGTAGTAACTGTGCGCACGTTTGCAGGCCCTTCCTGTCCTTCTGTCCTGTCAGCGGCTCGTTTGAAGCCAACCCGCCGTTCTGCGAAGAGCTGATGGACGCCATGGTGACGCACTTTGAGGTGACTTTGATTACCGGACATTTGAGGCAACGGCTGCGTGAGGCCAGAAATGACCAAATTCTGCCATGTACCGTATTTCCTTGAGAATAACACGCATTTGTATATTACATGCGCCCTGAAAATTGCCCTTCAAAAGCTGATTTTTCTTTTCTCTCTTGTGGAAGTATGAGCAGCACAGTAAGTTGATAGAACTTTTTTTTTTGGATTAAAAAATAAAAAGCCAACCCAAAAGAATGCACTTCATACCTAATTAAAAGAAAAACAAGAATGACCAAATAACTTCCTTAATTTTCAAATCTATTGGTACAATGTAGGCCAAACGCTAAAAACATAGCATGTTGTTTTACTTGTGCATGGGTAAGTCAATACCCTGTGGAATTATGGGAAGAAAATGTTTTTAGCATTTAGCCTGGCTTTTATCAGCGTGTTATCCACCCAGGACCTTCTGGAGCAGTCCAGCGAGCCTCTGTCCTTCATTGTCTTCATCCCTGAATGGCGAGACCCTGTAACGCCGGCCCTTGGCCGCATGGAAGGAAGTCGCTTCCTGCGTCACCAGATGAGCGTGCCTGCCTACGAACACGAGTACCGATCCGGAAGTCAGCACATCTGCAAGAGGTACCAAACGCAAGCAAACACTTTTCTTCTACTACAATCGTTTGAGACGACACATCACTAATAGCAGAGCTGGTATAGAAAATAAGTGTTAAAATCATTCATATCAAAACTGTCGCACCATTTCCTTTGGAGGGCATGAAGGTTCATCTGAATTTTGTGTGCATGTGTGCGTGTATAGGGAGGAGATGTACTACCGGGCTGTCCACGGCACAGCAGTGCTTTTTCTCCAGAATGCGGCAGGCTTCGCCAAGTGGGCTCCCACGCCGGAGCGGTTGGCTGAACTAACGGCGTCTTACCGGCCCTCGCGCTCCGCCCCTGCCGCCGGTGCTCCCCCGTTGGCCTCCCCGGGCCCCGCCCACCCGCCTCCGGCTGACCGAGACTCCTCTGCCCTCAACAAGAGCGCCGACAGGATGACCAGTGCGCTCGTCTCGCCCGGAAGCCATGACAAGAACAACAACGGTGGCGGCAGTCCGCAGGACAAGATGGCCACTGGGTAAAGGAGCAAGTGGAGCATGTGCGGTCCCTCGTGCTGATTCTCAGCAATAATGGCTTGTGATGTCACGCCGGGCCGCTTGGGGATTGATCGACAAGGCAGCTATCGTTTTTTTTTACTTTTCTTTTTTGGACTTGACTCAATGGGCCAATTTGATTTTGAAACTCCCTTTTGCACACCCACAGATGTAAAGTTGAACACATCTCCCAAATTGTCACCAATATCATAAAGAGAGAATCCGCCACAGCTACGTGCAACGTTGCACTCTTGCAATTCAAATACCCTGCTCTCCCATTGTGCAACTTTGTGGTCGGCGTGAAAGAGGCCACACGGTGACATGGTTGCTGACGTAGAATTGTTTGCTTATTTTGACATTTTCCAATGAATTGACTGCCTGCCTGAGGTTGGCATGGCAACAGCAAGCCAGGCTCATTTCAAAATAAACCAGCGCTGGACATTATGTCGCACAAAATGCCAGCGACGATACACACTGCGGTGGGTCGAGGAAGCACTTGATTGGGCGCCTGCTCACCCTGTAAATGATGTACAGTCAAGGTGAAACTCAATGGATGCTTTTTAGTCATCATCGTTTCTGTATCATAATGTTTACAATAGTTTGTTCCAAACTAAACCAAAGTGTTATTAAGAAGAAGAAAAAAGTCTATATATTGTAAATGTACAAAGTGTGTGTGTGTGCACGCGCGCATGCATGCGCGCGTGCACAGAAGTCAATCCAGCAAGTTTTGTTTCTTTTGTTTGTGGTGAAGCCTCACGCAGAAGCTGTGCTTGCATGAAACGTTTTCTTTTCACTAAGCTGAGCATCATGCAAAACTGTCATTCTGTTGAGTTGCTCTCTGTCGCGTCCCCTTTCTGATTGTCCTTGCTTTTGGGAGGGTGGGGCACTAACTTCAATCTTAAATATTTACTTTGGATTATTATTATTTTTATTATTTTGCTTTTGATTTTTTTTTTGCTCAAATCGGAGTACAGACTTTTTCCACTTGTAAAAAAAAAAAGAGAAAATTTCTCCAATGACGTCCATATTTTTTACACGTTTTCACAAAAAAAAAACGGAGAAAGTTGCATGTGACCATTTGTTGTGAGCTTTTAACCATTTTGTGATTGTTTTGTTCTCCTTTTTTTTAATTTCTAACTGACGCCAGTCAGCGACTTGTTTGTTTTTCTTTTTATTGGCCCTGCCTGGCTGAGTGCAAAAAGAAAATGCGACATTGTAAATACAAAACTTTGGACTGGAGAATGTATATAAATGCGCTACAGATAAAATGCAGTTTGATTCTCAGTAAAGTTATATTCCATCCTTTGCCACGTGTGCTCCTTTCAGCCACCAAATTAAATCACTTTCACTTTTGAATCAAATGAATGAACATGAATTTGTTGCGCTCAGGTTATTTATGCAAACTATTTTGGAGTGAGGGAGGGTGTTCATTTTCTTTTCGTTTATCTTTCTGGCTTCACAGGGATTTGGTGTGGTTACACAAGTATTGCGTGACTTTTTTTTCCCCGTTTTTGGTGAGTTCTATTACGACTTCATGCATGCTGTCGTGTAAAATCAGAACACCCGATGAACTGAATTGCAAACAAAAGCACCCGTTTTTGTCTTGTAACCACCGGAAGCGAACAATACATGACGGCTGCTAACTTGACCAAAGCGGAAGTGGGCTGTTACATCCAATCCGGGAACTAAAAGTCACAAGTGACTTACTACACAAAGAAATCAATGCCAAATTACGGTCTGCGGTCGCTGTATGCCTTCAAATTGGGTGTAAAACGACACCTGGCCGAAGCTGCTTTTAATTTTTGTTGTTTTAATAGCTTTTAACCTGTTAACGTAGCCCCCGAGTTAGCTGAAAGGGTTTTGCAATGGAAGACAAACAAACAAAGCGGACACAGCCGGACGGAAGCCAACAGCCGACGGTAAGGAGGATAAATACACTGAACTAAGACGTTCATGCGCGCGGTTGACGACTACAGTTTGCGAGTAACGAGTGCCGTCCTGTTTGTGTTTTGTGTTAGAATCCGTGGAACTTGATGATCAAACACAGGCACGTCCACAGGAGAGGACGACGCTCACACATGGCCGTCAGGTAAGGACAGCAATACAAACAGAAAAAGAAAGCCGCCTTTGCAATTTTGCACACTTACAGAGAGGAGGTGATGCTGAACATGTCGGGGTGGCCCCCTTTCACATTTGAACCAGTTCGTCCCGATTCCTGGTAGCTGCGAATCGGAATAGGCACTCAACCGTACCATTTTTAAGTACTTGCGTGTGTGCTTATGGTAATAAACGTGAATTTATTTTGTAATAAAATAAAAAAGTTTTCAGTTAACGTTTTTAATTCTAAACTTCGACAAATATCAAAACATCATGAATTTAAAACGGCCGCACGAACAGTTTGAACCCAGCCTAGACTCAGCCAAAGCAAATAAATAAATACATAAATACACGCGCGTGCGTGTGAATCTGTAGTTACACAGACCCGCAGGTGTCCATGGACCTCCTGAGGGCGGTTCTTCAGCCGAGCTTCAATGATGACATCATGGCCGTGTTCAGGAAATACCACATGGTATGGTGTGTGTATGTGTGTGTGCGTGTCCTCGCGTCTCTGACGGAGTTGTGTTGTCATCGTGCAGTTTTTTGAGAAGGCGGCACACAACGTGAAGGAGAACGTCGGAGACGAGGTGCACACGGATCAGCTCATCAAGGACGCCTGCAGGAATGTTCTGGAACATGTAAGAGTGTAATTTGTGTATGTGTGTCTTGCTTTGTGAGAGTGCGAGTATGTGTGTCTGACTGAGTGTGATTGCGTTTGTGTGTTCCTTCGTGTTTGTGTCTGTGCGAGTGTTCTGTGAAACTGAGGCACACTGTGTGTGTGTGTGTGTGTGTGTGTGTGTGTGTGTGTGTGTGTGTGTGTGTGATTGCCATGGTTACCACCGCAGGCCAAAGTTTTGTTTCCCGAAAGTGATGTGAAGAAGCCAAGTTCTGAGGTGACCATCAAGGTAAGACAGATGAACTGGGACCATCTTTGCCAAGTCATCTTGAAGTCTGATTTTTGCTCGCCTGTTCTGGTGTGTTGTGCCTTTAGCGTTCTCGAGGTTCTGAAGAAAACTGCAGCCAAAGAGGAAGTCCAGTCCCCAAAAAGGTACGTTCCGAGGCATATTTTGCATCTTCAGCCACTTGACTCCTGCAGCACTGGATGATTTTCCGGCATGATGGGAGATGTCACAGAATTTAAATCAAAATTCACGTCTGGACTTGGACTCGGTCACAACAGAACCTAGAACCTTCTAACCTGTTGTTAGAAGCCATTCAGAAGTTGTGTTTTGGTTGTTTGTCCTTCTGCTGAACCGGATGGCGCTTCATCTTGAGGTCACTAACTGATGGCCGCACATTCTCCCACAGAATGTTAGCTCAAGAGCAATATTCATGTAGCCGTCCAGGTCCTGGTTGCGTAGAGCAGACCTAGCCCGTCGCACTCAATCACCAGCACCATGTTTGACTGTCGTGAGGGAAGACATTAGGGAAGTTGGTGTTAGAGGAGAAGATGCAGAAGTGAGACTTTGAATAAAAAGGATGACATGCTGTGGCCACCCCTAACAGGATGAGCCCAAAGGGGGAAAAGGAGGTGTGTGCAATTGTCTTTTGTTTGAGAAATTCACACCCCGAGAAACTATGCTTTTAAATAAAAACTTGAGAAGAGGGCAAATCCTTTTTCATGGCACTGCACTCGACCCGTCAAATAGTCACGTGGTTGCGTGGCGAACTCACGTGTGCTGTTGTGTGTTTTTTCATGTCGTGCGTTTGTGTGTTTTAGTCACACAGATACTGATGTCGGAATTTTCTGCGTGTCTCTCGGTGTGTGTGCATTGTTGCCGTTCTCAGAGAAAGAACCGCATGAGCGGCGCCATGGCGTCTGACCGATCTTTGAACGTCTCCGCTCAGTGAGTATCACAGCACATGAGGATGATATTGATGATGACGAAACAGACATAGTGAAAAGTTTGTGTGTGTGTGTGTGTGTGTGTGTGTGTGTGTGTGTGTGTTGTCAGCGTGAAGGTGAAGTGTGAAGCCATCAAAAAGGAAGGACCCAAGGTGACATGCTAACACATATTTGCTTTTAGCTGTTACGCTAGGGAAGACAATTTTTGTTAAGTCTGACAGCTGTTTTAATGCATTTTTGGGTGCGGAATGCAAAAGGGATCTCTGTGTTTTTGTATCAAATCCAGTTTTTGAGCTATCGGAGCAATTATAATTTCTAATCAGCATAAAAATTTACAAAAGACATTCCTTTCCCAAAATGGCTCCCCGGTGTTACCATTCTCACCATCATTACGAATAATGATTGTGTTGTTTGTGACATGTAGTGGGAACCGTCCAGATTGAATGAAAGCAGCACGTTTGTTTTGGGCTCCAGAGCTAACAAGTAAGGCAGCATCCCTCCCCACATCTATGACCAGAATTAAATACAGTAGTGTGTTTAAAAAGCCTTCATTTTCTGTTACAGGGCCTTGGGGATGGGCGGGACCAGAGGGCGAATTTATATCAAACATGCTGACCTCTTTAAGGTAAACACACACACACACACAAAGCCCGGATGCCAGTGTTGGGATGTGCGTGTTCGTTGTAACACGTTGCGCGTGTGCTTGTCAGTATGCGGCGGACACAAAGGACAAGCAGTGGCTGGCCGAGCGTCATCACATGAGGGCAACGGGCGGCAAGATGGTGAGGCCCAACGGCAGCGGCTACCACCGCGGTGACCACAAACATTGACGACTGTGCGCACGTGTACTTAATCGCTCAGGCCTACCTGCTGATCGAGGAGGATGTCCAGGATCTGGCGCGCGGTGACGATTACAAGTGAGTGGCGGCGTCATGCTCTGTCGTCACAGTAACGTGGACACGCCTCATGCCAAATGTGTGCACAGGGACTGCCCGGACGTGAAAATGGACGAGATGAAGCCGTTCTCGGTTCCTCTGTGGATGGTGGAGAAGATGCAGAGGGCCATGGAGGCGCAGAGGGACACGGAACTCTGAAGGTCCTCCAAGTGTATTAAAAAAAAAAAAAAAAAAAGACTAAATGACAAAAGTTGTGCTTCTCAAAGGGTGGGGCTTCGGCTCCCTCTAGTGGTATTTAAAAGAATGCAATGAATCTACTCCAGCCCGTTCCCCTCCAAAAAGCCCCCAAATCAGTTCGTTTTTTTTTCACTACGCTCAACACTGCGGTTGTGCCTAAAATCATATTTGCACGCCACAAAATGCGCATGCAAACCACAAATACCCCTAATGTGTTGTCCTGCCTTCATTGCTTCTATTGGCGGTTGGCCAAAGCAGCCCCATAGGGCACTGGCGCTCCCTGCTGATGTTGTCCTTACACTCCAAGAACATTTGATTGATTATGCGTGCGGTGGAAGCGTCTTAAGTACACTCGTGTAAAAAAAAAAAAGTAACGTCATAAGTGGCCTGTCAAACAAGGGACACAGGGCTTGAAAAACAATTTCCCCAAAGGGCGTCACCCTGACAGATCAGCTCATCTTTGCATGGAAACGACAAACCTTCATCATGTTTCTCAAAAGAAATGATAGTGTAGTTACCAAAAGGACATTTTTATTTGACTTTGCAACACAAATGGAAATTATTTACAAGATGAAGTGGAAGTGACATCACGATGGAAGGCTGGACGGGGTCACTCGATGCCTTCCTGTTTGTCCTTGATGGCCACCCGGAAACGTTCCTCCAGCAGGGAGAGCTCGCTGATTAGATCAGTGATGGCGTTGGTGAAGGCTTCCTGCCACACAGAAGCATTAGGCAAGCCGTTCAATGGTTATCGAGTAAGGTGTGCAACTTTATTGGCCCCTGGTGGCTGAAGATAGAGGGCAGACATCTTAAGTTGCCACTGTTACTGGTTTGGTTTTGGCTGGATGAAAACGCATCAGGGAATGTTTTATACCAGGATGACTGTTGCACGGTGAGCAACTGAGTAGCACGTGCGCCTCACAGAGGAGGGGTTGTGGGTTTGAATCCAGCTCCAGCCTTTGTGTGTAGTTTGCCTGTTCTCCCCGTGCCTGTGTGGGTTTTCTCCAGATACTCCGTTTTTTTCCCACATTCCCAAAAACATGCATAGTCGGTTGATTAAACACTCTAAATTGTCCCTAGATGTGAATGTAAGAGCGAATGAGTGTTTCTTTTTGTGCCCAACGATTAGCCAGCAACCAGTTCAGATGAAGCAGAGCAATTTTTGCGTAGTACTCTGAGATAGACCTAAGAGCACAATTGCAATCGCGTTTTTAAGTGTGCATGTTGCACTCCTCCCAAGCTTTTTGGTACAAGCGATGGTGACATTTTCACCGTGGAGACAGAAAACAACGTGTCAAAATCAATGCATTCCATTTTGGTCCACTTAGTGATTGGCAACATTTGATGGCTGCCAGTGGCTTTGCTTCTCCCGACGGCGAGTAAGTGGCATTGTGAGGCCATCCTACTTACGACGTCTTAGTTACTTTACGTCCCGTCATGTAAGTTACAGTCTACGTTCCCGTTCCAGCAGGCGTGTGGGTTGGTGCATTTTGCTTATTACTTGTGGACTGTAGTCAGGCGTTGTCTGCACCCTGATGACGATCTTGTGCTCCAGGGGATGAGGAACTTTGTATCCGGCGAAGAGAACCTGAGGATCCTTCAGCAGCTGCCTGGCTCGCGAAAGAACAAAAGCGAGTGAGCGTCACTCCCGCTGAGTTCATCGTTAAAACACAAAACAGCAACAAATGGAATTTGGGCTCATCGTCTCGGAGTTGTTTCGACACTTGAATGTGGTGATTTGCCATTTTGCCGTGAGGTTTTTGTCTATGATCACTAAGGAGTACCACTGGGTGCTCCACGGCGCGACGTCGCTCGGTTAGCAATTTAGCGGGCTTCTTACGCTCGTATGATGTTGCCCAGCGTGTGGTCCTCCTTGTTGAGCGTGAATAGACATGAGTTGGGCACTTTGGTGTCCTTGGTGATGGTGATCTTCTTCTCGCCCTCGAACAACAAGAACGACTCGAATGCGGGAGGTGCGTTCATCTTTACGTCTGACAAGCTAGTGAGCCGAGCCGGCGGAAGTACGACTTTCCGCCAATTGGCGCTTCCGTCTGCGTGCAGCTGCGTAGCGCCCCTGGATGGATTGGAGCGCAACTTCAGAAAACGGGGAAACCAACACCCTATCTTTTAATTATGAAATACGGACGAGTACAGCATGACGGAAGGACAACATAGAAAATACATCCTAAAAAGTGACAAGCGAAGGATGAAACACGAGTCAATCAAACATGAATGAATTAATGCAAAATCAATCTGGGGTGGATTGGCAATCCCAAATAGAGGAGAAACAGTTTCGGGATGCACAGAACAGAATGAGCAAGATATGTAAACGTGTTTCTTGAACTTTTTAATACAGTGTTTTATTGGATAAATGTGGAGAGAAGTCCTTATTAGCAAGAACATGTATTTTTGGTAAACGCCAGACTTTTTCCCCGAAAACCAACAGACTCTTGGCAGTGTTCAAATTCATTGGCTCGGCCGAAAAGTGCGGTCATCGTGGGAGGCAACCTGTGAATTTGGACACAGACGTTGTCCTTATTTGCAATGGGAGCCATTTGTCACGGAAAGATATGACATTTATTGACAATATCTTATATTTTTTGTCAGCGTGTTTTCTATCCTGTTTTTGATCAACACAGCTCTCATGTAAATGTTTTACATTACCGTTGGGCGTACAGTGTCTCATTTAAATACTATATATTCTAAGAATAAAGTTGTGAATTCTTCCCTTTGAAGATGATGTTATTCGGAGTTCGGTTTCATCCACTTCCGGGTGTTTCTTGTCCAATCGCAACGTCCGCCCCTTGAAGCAGGCGCTGTCATTGGTTAGCAAAAAAAAAAAGACGTCTGCGTTTGAAACTCGACCGCCGATTGGCTCAGCGCGCCAGTGTCGTCCGTTTAAATCGGGAGCGGCACTGTGCTGGGCAAGTGGTAGCCCTAAGTCTTTTTTCGCTTTTCTTTCGCCTTTTGGCTTGACGCAAGTTCATCGACAGACGCCACGGTGAGTTCGACAAACTAAGCAAGCGCCGGATTGGAGTCAAAGCATGTGAACCATGATGTTGAACGCAAATAAACTAGGCGCTAGCTTGACTCGCTTAGCCGATTTAGCTAACGACAAACGTTTCTTGTAGCCAACACAACCCTCGACGTGCAGTCGTCCCACTCGTTCGAAAGTTGAGGAGCGAGCGACGCGTTGATCTGGGCGTTTGTGTACTCAGATTCGCGGGGCTAACGTTTCCAAATCGGCTGTCACGATCGCCTTCAAGAAGACTTCGCCAAATTCAATTTTTTAACATTTCAAAGTGGGACTTGAAGTTTGGCCTTTAATCTTAGGCTTTTTCCTTTGACCTATAAAATACGATTTCATTCTCGAGGTGCCACACTTAATCCGTTTCATTCAGCACTTGATTGGATTGATCAAGGAATGAATTAAAGGAATTAAACTAATTTGATGAAGTAGTTTTGAAACCTTAACTTCAATCCTCCGGTTTCACCCCCTCAGCAGTCTGTCGTCTTCCATGAAAGCAGATTGGCTATCTTTGGGCGATTTTTCCAAATAAGCCTTGGAAAACAATCAGCTGATTTTCACACGTATGTTACAGACCAAGCTAGTCATTGAGCCATTTCGTTTACTACACTATTACTTTGAAATCATGTCCTGTTTTTCAAGAAAATTATGGGAAGTGATTTTTTTTCAATCCGATTCATCGGAAAATAATCAATAGAGTCATAGTCACTTATTCAAAGAAGTGTTAGTTGCACCTCCAGATTTGCTGTTACATTTCCACATTTCAAGTTGGGCTTTTACAAAGTTGCCTTGTCCAAGCCACATGCTGGATTTTTGTTTATGTGCAGCTCAGAGCTGACCGATGGCCTCTCAGAACTTGGACCCCGCTGCCTCAGCTGGAGGCGCTGCTGCCGCCATGAAGGGCAGCGAAGCTGGTGGCAACACTACCAAAGGATCGGTCACCAAACGGTGTGTACGGCGGTGTAATTGTTCATCTTGTCTAATTTGTGCCATTATTGGCTCCAGCAAATGAAAGCATGAACATGAGTCATTGGCAGGCATGTGTGTGAGGAACGACTTTTCAAAAATGCACTCCTGATCAAAAGATAAACATGGTCTTGATTCTGTTTTGCAGGCTCCAACAGGAGCTGATGACCCTGATGGTGAGTGCACTTCCTTTTTCATGTCAAGTAATGGCACGCTTTATTGCAGTTTAACTTCCAGACCACACGGGGCAGTATGGAACAGATGTCGCATGTGCGCCATTGCATTCAACAATAGCTGTCACCTTTGAATGCATTGGTGAACAATATTTGTTCATACAGTTTGTAATCTTTTAAAAAGAAGCTTGTAGCAATTTCATAGGTAATTTTTTATTGGATAAAAAAAATACAAAATTGACCAATGTTTTTTGCTGATTTTTCTCCACGTTGTTAACAGATATAGTATTATCAATCACATGCTCGGAAAATACAATTTATCAGATTTTTCAAAGTGACTCATTTACACATTTTTTCCTGTACCTGATTCTAATTACAATATATTCGGAGATGATTGAACTTGAAGTGGTTTCCTTGTTTGTGTGCATGCTGAGCGCAGATGGCGGGTGACAAGGGAATCTCGGCCTTCCCCGAGTCTGACAACCTCTTCAAATGGGTGGGAACCATCGACGGCGCCTGCGACACGGTAGGGTTTGGCGAGCAGCCGCCGGTGTGGGCGGTCAAACAAATGGCTGACGGCTGTGATGCCGCAGGTGTATGAGGGTCTTCGCTACAAGCTGTCGCTCGACTTCCCAGCCGGATACCCGTACCAGGCGCCCCGTGTGCGCTTCCTGTCACCGTGTTTCCATCCTAACGTGGATGAGCACGGCTTCATCTGCCTGGACATCCTCAAGGACAAGTGGTCGGCGCTGCTGGATGTGCGTGCCGTCCTGCTGTCAATCCAGAGCCTGTTGGGAGGTAAAGCTCTCTTGGCCCGGCCTCCGTGTCCGCTTCCTGCTGCGTGCTCACCCGCATCCTCTTGGCTTTTCCTTCCAGAGCCCAACAATGAGAGTCCGCTTAACGCCGCAGCCGCTGCGCTTTGGCCAAATCAAGAAGGTGGGTTGCACAAACAAGGGGGCGTTGTATTTGTTCAACTTTATTTTTTGCATTTTTTTTGCGAAAGACGCAAGGGTGAAGGGAATTTCACATCTAACTGCCCCCCCCCCCTGCTTTCAGCTTACAAAGCTCATCTGCACTCAACGTTCCGCATGTGAAGCTGCTCCACTTTTCTTTTTTTTTTTTTAAATCTGTGTGCGTTTTTGTGTTTGTACAGTATTTTTATGTTTGTTTGCCTTTCATTCAATCAATAAAGTTCTTAATTCAACACATTGCTTGCCTTTTCAACATTTTTCTTTTTGGAGCACACACAAAATTCACTTTTGTATTGTGTGATTGGAACAGTAAAATCCCAAATTTGTTCCTTTATTCCAACTCTTTTCGGTGACATTGGTCGCACTTTATCTCGCAAGAGGTGGAGCGCGGCCCCCACCTTCCCCTCTCCAACTGTTAATAACCCAACTAAACTATTTGCAGTTCCTTAGCAGACAATACTTGTACAATTTGAATTATGAAAACAAAAATTTCCATAAACTAACTTGACGTCTTTTAGAGTACCCCTAAGCTGCTGAACAAGTTGCCTGCCATAAAAGACCCCAAATTCAGCACCAAGACACCCCCGGCCCCTCACACGCCCTCCCTTTAAAACCCAATCAAAATGTTGTCCAAGCACGTGGCACGAGCATTTCATCATTCTGCCTGTTCCTTGACAACATTGGTATGGATAAATGGACCCAATTTTTTTGGTTGGGGAGCACATAATCTTTCATTCAAATAAGTGACATTGGATCATTTCGGGCGTGACATCAGATGATCTCTCAATGGTTGGAAAAAACTGGCCCACATCACATTCAAACCACAGCTCTGTTGTCCTGATGCATAAATTCAGCCAAGGGAGCACCAGAGGTTACGATAGTGTGAAGATTCCAAAGCCTGCTCAAACAAAACCGCCCTCAATTTGAAAATGGAGCGACGGCTACGACCAGGCGCAGCCGAGGCCCGAGCGTGCCGATGGCCGGCAGCAGACAGATGACTCCTCGGCGGAGGCCTCTTCCAGCCCTTCTTCGGCCTCCTCCGTGATTTCGCCGCTCGTCGGCTGCGTGGCCTCCACTGACCAGAATGCTACAGGAACCTAACGGGAACACGCCCACTTTCCATCAGAGGGAGTGTGAGCCAGAATGTTTGTGCATGCATCCGTGAGCGTGTGCTCACCCTGAGCTGCATGTCGCTCATCATCGCTTCCAGGCTATTGAGGTGTTCCTGAAGACCCGACTCCTGATGGAGGTCATCCACGTCGGAGGCCAACCAGGGCATCCGAACCGAGGCGGCCCTCGTGGCCACGCCCACCACGCCGTCCAGACACCCTAAAGGAGGCAACAGGTGACATCATTATCGGTCCACCAATCATGCCGGGCGGTCAGGCTGTGCTGACCTGTGTTGATCAACGAGCGACGGTCCTTTTGCTGGCCCAGTGGGAAGCGCACAATCAGGTCGCCAACTTTGCGCAGGTCCCGCAGGAAGTTCTCCATGGCGGACAGGAAGTGGACCCACACGCGCTCCAGCTCTCGTCGCTCTGCTGAAGACGCAGGACCCGCCGGGCCCGAGTTGCAGTTGGACAGGAGATGCGTGAGATGGCAGGACAGGCCTCCACCGAAAAAAAAAAAAAAAAATTACTTGGGGCATTAGTCAAAGTCAAGCAATCAAATATGAGTGCCTGAGTCAGGATGTGTGTGAGGGCTTTGAGTGAGTGAATGAGTTAGGTTGTGAGAGCATCATGTGCGAGCAACTGAATGAATTAGAGTGAGAGAGGGTAGTCTGAAAGCAGGATATGCCTGAGTAGGTGATTAAGTTCCTTGGCAAGAGAGGGGTATATATATGAGAGAATGAGTTATTATATCCAAGAGGGTATATGTCACCGTTGGCGACGTTTGTGGCGAGCGCCCTGACGTGTGCAATCTCGCGCCTTAGGAAGGCGCAGTCGGCTGAGCTTCCCAGTGACACCGCCAACTGCTGGAAACACGAAGTGAGGCGCACCAGCGTCTGGAAACAGGAAGTGACCCGCGCCAGCCTCTCTTGGGCGCGCTCGCCACCATCGTGCCGCTCGCTCATGATGACCTCCGACCCCTGCGCCTAATCGACATCAGCGGAAAGGTGGTAAGAACTTGGCATTTTCTGTGGTGGCACACAATGCACAAAGTCAAAATGAAATGATTTCAAAATGAAATTTGACATGGGTGTGGATTTTGGTGATTGTGGTGTGAGTTTGCCAAGGCATTAAAACAGAGAGGTCAATCTGTCACCAACGGATGGCCGTTTTCTGGAAAATTACGGACTAGGTACCAATGGAAGCGAGTTTTCGTGCTTCACTTGGATTGTCACTGACCACATCAGTACCGATGAACCTTCTCAGCCCGTCAGTGACGTTTCGCACCAGAAAAAAGAAAGGTTTCACGGGATAGCTTTCATGAGAGAATTTATCACATTTCAGCCTGTTAAGGTATCACGAATCAATGTGATAGTTGTGATCATATCATCACTTTGTAACATGAAAAGCTAATGTGTGATTTCTGCATTGGGTAAAACAAAACCAAGCAATTACTTCGGGTGCGGTCGAGCGGCGGAGTCCTCTTTGTGTCTTGGACAACAAACACCCTCTTTATGTAACTATACTAAAAAGAAAAAAGCCACCTGTGTCTAAAGAGTCAAGGTTTAGGCACACTTTCGTACATACTTTGTTTTATCTTGTCCCATGTGGACATCAAATTTACCATTTCTCAAACATATGACCATGAAACTTACAGAATCTTATCAGAATGTGATGTTTATCACAGTGAAATGTGAAACTGGCCAGATTCTAACATGATATTCAACTTTCTTTTTTGCAAGTGCTGGAAACTGCTTGAAAAAAAGCATTTTAATTTGGAGGTATGATAAGAACTTGGATCATCTGGATCCCTGCACCAAAATGTTGAGGATCAAAAACGACGCGCGAGTTAGTTCAAGTTCAAGCGCGAGCTAGCTACCTGTGGGTTCTTGCGTCGCTGGTGAGCTGCTCCTCTCTCCGGTGTTCCTCTTCTCCTACTCTCGTCTTCCTCCTGCTCGTTTTGTTGTTGTTCTTGGTCTCCAGGGTCACTGGTCGCCTTGACAATTGGCGCCAGTGGGCCAAGAGCAGCTGAGGCCGTCAAGCCGGGACGCGTTTGATGCTGACTCCTTAGCGTGGCCAAAAAGATTCTCTCCATGACGTGGTTGGAACAGGAGTTGTTTGGAGAAAGCTTAGTAGTTTTTATTCATTTCATTTTCATCGTGTTGCACACAAATGTTAGCTGAGCGACTAGCCTAGCTTAGCAATAAGACCAGGAACATTTTCCATTTTCTATTGACCGGCCGGGTAGGTTCTCTTTATGGGCTTTTGGGGGGAACTCCAAATCTCTTGGGCTTTTTTGCCCTCAATGTCCTGTGATATTATTTTTTTTTCTTGTCACTTACAACAAGAATCAATTATTCTGACTTTTTTGGGGAACCTATCCCCCGTTTTTTTTTTTTTTTTTTTGTGACACACCCCCTCCAGAAATGATATATAGTGAGAGTAAATGTGTGGCTTTTGCCTATTCCGGTCAGGCCCAGTCGCTATCGTTTTTGTTTGAAAGCTAAGCTAGCTCCTTGCCGCCTGCCATCTCTGTGCCAAGCTAGGCAAGCAGCACGTCTGCCATGTGGTGTGACGCGTGTGGACAAAGTTGTTTAGGTGACGCATGAGTTATGGATGGCTTTCAGACCAAGTAAAAAAAAAAAGAAAGAAAAAAAAAAAACACATGACAGTCTGCTTCCTGTTGTCCAAAAAAATGGCCCCAAGCCTGGCATGACAATCAAAGTATAGCATGTTACTTTCACATTGTCTGGATGAGAGTGCTCCATTTGCCGACGCAGTTTTCCAGGAATCATCCTCATATTATCAATTTGTAATTTCCAGGCAGATTACACTAAAAAGGATTTTTTTTTTTAAGAAACCAGTGCACCTGAGGAAGAACAACCTACCAGAGACAAAAGACGTGACAGACGAGGTGAAGTGTGGCTACATTCAAATCTTTTAAAACTGCAAATTCCCCATTGAATTCCTGGCCGCCAATGAGTATTCTGACCGCACGTCATGTCTACATTACCGCTAACAATGTCAGGATTTTGAGTGGCCCTGGCGACGCACGAGGTGCTTGGCGGTCACAGCGAGTGCTAGTCGTCTTCCGCAGACGTGATGGCGATGGTGGCGTTGTCGCGGCGACGGGTGGCGAGCGCCTGCAGTAGCTCGTGGCACAAGCACTGGCAGAAGCCGTAGAGGACCAGCAGAAGCAGCGTGGACGGGACCAGGCTGACCAGCAGCACGCCCGGCCACATGTGAGCCATCATCAGTAGGTAGATTCCCACTGGAAGCGAGCTGAAGTACACCTGGAAGAACGTGCGTACGTACACACACACACACACACACACACACACACACACACACACACACGCACACACACACACACACACACACACACACACACACACACACAGCCATGAACACTAGCGCATAGAAAACACACTGGTGGGAATAGAATGCCCTTAAGGAGAGATACAGATTCAAAAAACCCAAGCAAACAAACCAAAAAAAAAAATCTAATCAAGTTTTTGGACCAGGATCTGACCAATCCATTGGGTATGTTTTGGTATTTTTTTTTTTGCCAATTTTTGCAGAGTGCCACCCCCATTAATACACAACAACATAAAGTAATAAAATTCAAGCTGACCATTTTTTAAAACATTTTACAACTCAGGGCAAAGATCATGGTGATTTTTCTTTGTTGTGAAGAAATACTAAAGGAATAAGATTTGTAAAACAGTCAAATGATCTGTTTGTAATTCATATCTTTATCATTGTAAGCATTAAGGGAACAAAAAACACCCCAAAAAACTAATCTTATTCATTATTTTTTTTTAAACTGTTTTTGTCTGCCAAATATCGAATCGGCATCAGCCTTCAAAACAATTCGAAGTGGTTGGACCCTAATGTCCATGTGGTGATGTTACACCAGAGGACTAACCATACACAGCGCCCCCAGCAGGCAGCGGGGCAAACGCCGAGACGTCCAGGAGCCGCACTTGCGGGTGGGAAGGTCGCAGGCCAGTGAGTCCTGGCTGGAATGCCGCCGGTATAAAGCGACCGCCTCCGCCGCATTGAGCGTCCTCAACTCGTCTGAAGACGGCGAGTCAGCCGGCAGCTCCATGATGGTGATCACCAGGCAGTCCGAAGAGCGCGGTGTGCGGTCCGCGCCTGAACATACCACATGCATAGACGTTGAAAACAAATGATCACAGCACAAAGCAAATTGTATTGTGGCGGATTGTGTCCTGCCCAGAATTCACGACACCTCAACTCCCCAAATACGATACTCATATTAGTGGTTCTACGCAAAGGATAAAGAATACACTACATTAATGGAGTAGTTACAGTATTTTGTCAGTGTGGATGTTGTTACTGTACTGTTTCTGTTTTACTCCATTGCTTAAAGCGGCTCAACATCGACGCTAATTGCCCTTTTCATTTAAGCTTCCGGAGCGAAAAGCTAAGCTAATGTGGTTGAAACTCCACGTGAGGCCTAATTGTAAAAACTCTTGACTCGTATCGGAAGGCGGATGATTTCACCTCTCAGCGAGTCGGGGTTGAGCACAACTTCTCTGTGCGGAACGCCTCCTCCGCCTCCTCCTCGCCGAGCCCGCTCGCCACATGACAGGACTGCCAGGATGTGGCGGTCGTCCTCCATCAGCCAGACCTTGACAAAGGCAAACGAGTACCAGGGACCGGGAGAACAAGATGAAAAGTGAGAAAAAAAGAAGAAATGGAAGAAACGGGAAGAAGGAAAAGGGAGAAAAGGAAGGAGAGGAGTAAGAAAAGGAGGAAAAAGAGGAGAAAAAAGGAAGGTAGAAGAAAAGAAGTCAAGGATGGAGGAAGAAAAGAAAGAACGTGAAATTAAGAAAAAGAGAGGGCATTACCTCTTCTTGTGGGAGGTGAGTCTGGTGACGGCAAAAGGGACAAATGAGGACGGATGGAGACGACTCGCCTGGATGACAACGTCAAACACGTGAGACTCAAGCGACAGTGGAAGGCTTCTCGTCACTTTTGCGACTCATATGTTAGCATGGCAAGTGCTAGCATGCTAGCATCCATTCTGGAGTCAGATGACGATGTCACATGGTCACCACTTGTCTTGGCGATGCGATGTGGATGGAAGCAGAGCAAACGTTGACATGTTTGTATTTGATCAATTCTCCTGAAAATATTCGTGTATTCAAGTACACGTATCCAGCGCCGACAGTCCCAGATACTGACCTCCAGATACATCTTAGATTCTGTAAAGGGGTGGAGTGCCCCCTCAGGTCGGGGATAAGATCCTGGCCCAAGTGGAGGAGTCCAAGTAACTTGGGCTCTTCTTCACAAGTTAGGGGAGCTCGAAAGGCGGTTGATTTATTTGACACGCGATGAGTAGTCGATGATGATGAGCTGCAGGAGCGGACTCACCCGTGTCCAGCATCCTCTTGAGACACTTGGCGCACACACGGTGCAGACACGCCAGAACTTTGGGCTTGCGGCTGCGAGTGTCATAGCGATTGTAGCAGATTTTACACTCCAGCTCGTCCAGCGTCACCACCAGCGACTCGGTCCACCTCGTCATCTGCACGCAGGCGTCCCGTACATTGGCGGCGGCACCGTCCAAACTGGGGCGACGGCGTATCTCACCTGGCCTTGCGGCTCCCGGCTCGGCTCCGTCTTCTCACCCCGCCGGGTCATCCTGTCGGCTGTCTGAGGCAGAAGGCGCGCGATGTCACTTCCCGGTGACGGCATCCAAGGTGGAGACGCTCGGCCATCTGCGAGACATCGGCGTCAATCGTCATGGCGATGCACTCGTGCATGACGTGCATGAGCATTCTTCCGTGTGTGTGCATCGAGTGAAGTGCAAACGCACACAAGCACGAACATGCAACAGTGTCGTATATTTTGTAGCGGCAAGCGGCAGTTTTTATGTGAGCGCGACCGAGGGGACATGACGGATGTTGCTAAGACAACAGCTTCACTGAACAACATATCAGCCAATAAGACGAGTCCAATTCGGTGACGCACTGCTATCAATCATGGTCATTTTCTTTTCTTCCTGATTATTCAAAAAAGAGATCAGATTATGCTCCCTCACTTTCACTGGAGCCGGAGGGAAGCTGTGACTTCATCATTGAATTTATGACATCATCAGCGACCACAAGCTGAGTGGTCCAAATAGCCACGGTGGCGTCTTGCATGTTCATCTCGGTGAAGATTTGTGTGCCACCCCCTCCTCCGGAAAAAGACTTGTGAGAAGGTTCACAGGCCTCCCCAACAAAGTGTACGGTGCGTGGGCGTCTGTGACGTCACATAACGCGATCCAACAGAGAAATGAACGCAGGGACGTAGAGGTGCAGCGGGAACAATCGTGTGTGAGTCACTTTACCACACGTCGGGTTCGCTTGCTCACCTGATGTGCGTGCACGGTCGACTTGTTGACAGCTGTCAATCAATCACTGTTGGAGGCTGACGTAATCAATCCCTCGCTTCTTTCCTCCGTCACGTCATCTCGTTCGGCGATTGCTCGGCGAGCCCGGCGGCGCGCGTTCGCGCTTGCGTGCGTCGCGGTGACTCACTGCAGTTGCCGCGGCGGCTGCGCGCGCGGGATCCCGGGTTACCATGACAACTGGCCCACAGGGCGAGGGATGGCGACGCCTCCGCAATCAATCAACTCGTGACCACACAAGAACGTTTGTCCTCCAGTGATGACGTCACTTAAAGCCTCACTTTGTTTTCTTAGGATCGTTTTGCGAAAATAAAATGTCATGCATTTTGGGGGGGATTTTCATATGCTTTATTAGTTGCATTATATTTTTGTTTCTCTGGTGTTGTAGTGGTACACTCGCCTGACTTGTGTGCGGCCAGCGTGGGATCGGTTCCCACTCACTGACGGTATGGGGTATGAATGGTTATTTACCTCTGTATGTGCAGGAACGTCTGACTGTCGCTCTTGTGTGACGGGAGAAGTTGGGAGGCGGTGCATATGTTCAGCGACGTCATTTCCGGTAAGTCTTTCATTAAAGACGGGCCCGGCGGGATTCCCGCGGCCTAATTTTTTGATTTTTCCTAGTGTCCTGAGAATCCGTCGTCAATCGGAGCCATCAGAACCGCAAACATGGTGAGTGTGTTTGGACATTCAAGTTGACTCGATGAGCACTTTCGCGCGATCGCCATTTACGTCATTTTATACCCCAGTTTGCCGCTCGATGGATGGACGGTTTGATGGCGGCTGGGCGCGAGAAGCCGAAAGGCTCTCCCGGCCCGACAAGTTGGAGCACTTGGCCTTTCAGTCCAAACTCTTTCAGTCTTTCTATTCTTCTTCTCCTCCAGAAGAAGAAGTGGAAGACTTGCGTCCCATTGTAGACATTGTTGGACTTTGCTTGAGCTTTGTGCTGTTAGCATGGCGGCCGGCTAGCATGACGGCTAGCCGGACAACCAACGTTCGAACAACGTCGCTTGTCCAGTCTTTCAACCTTCGTCCTGCAAATTCGAAAAAAGTCAGCGAAGGAACTGCAAATTGAGTTATACGCAAAGTTGTTATGGAAGCAAATCGGACAGCAACCTTTCATCCACAACTCATTCATTTGGTTGCACAAAGTGGACCCTCACTTTTACTGAAGAAATAAATGGATCGCCAATCAAAACATTCGTTCTCTAGTCTACATTTAAACCGAGCTTCACGTTTGAGCTGCAGCCAGCGATTATTTATTGTCGAATTAAAAATAGAAGTTTTTTTGGCTGTTGTGCGCATTTTTTGAGGGAGAGTTAAACACATTTGGGTAAATGTTTTGTTTCTCTCCCCAATATTGCAGGGGGTCATCATACCGGTGGATATTCGGTTCTCCCGGGTACTTTTTTCACCTCACTAATGGAGTCAGCTGTGCAACTAAGTGGTGCGCACAGGCTCGCCACTGACATCTAAACGATGCCACAGTTTTCTGCCTAGAGAGACAAACAAGCATAATAACTGACAAATTCAGACACACTAAGTGAGCACAGTAATGAAATTGTGAAATACACCTTTATTTGTACAGCAAGGAGCATCTGATGTTTATTCGGTACATGCATCGAAGGCTCGACACAAAGGATACATCACTAGTACTAACAAGTGCCGCCCTTGAGACAGTAAATATGGTTGTCCTGTACCGCCCCAAAAGTGCGCCCAAATCTCTGCCGGTGCGACCAATAGAAAAAGTGGGTCACACCAGTGCTTTCAGTGTAAAAGTTCGTGTAGAGCCCTGAGCACTTTCTGTTGGCATTTTTTTGCGCTGTTTGAAAGTGTTTCCTGTTTCTTCCATAATGATGAATGGCAAACATAATGGCTGGCGAAAATTTCCCCTGTGAGTGATGGGTGTTTTTTTTTATTCCCCTGTGAGTTATGGGTTTTTTTTTTTTTTTTTTTCTCCTTCCCCAGACTGTGGGCAAGAGCAGCAAGATGCTGCAGCACATTGACTTCCGCATGAGGTGCATCCTGCAGGATGGCCGCATCTTCATCGGCACCTTCAAGGCCTTCGACAAGCACATGAACCTCATCCTATGCGACTGTGACGAGTTCCGCAAGATCAAGTAAGCTACCCCCCGTCCGGCGCCAATGACTAAACTCTACTGGGCATCCTAATTTGCTCTTCGTGCGCCCGCACAGGCCCAAGAACTCCAAGCAGCCCGAGAGGGAGGAGAAGCGAGTCCTGGGCTTGGTCCTGCTGAGGGGGGAGAACCTGGTCTCCATGACGGTGGAGGGCCCGCCACCCAAAGACGTAAGCTTCTTGTGGCACTTTTTTTTTTGTTCAATATGTTGATATTGGTCTTATAAATTTGAAATGTTTTTCATGCGACTTAAGAACTTTGTTTATTCCTCTTATCATAAATTTGATCGTCGACTTTGACTTCCTGACCGTCCTTTCCTTTCCCCACCCATCAGACGGGCATTGCTCGTGTTCCTCTGGCAGGCGTGGCTGGCGGTCCCGGTGTGGGGCGGGCGGCAGGCCGCGGCGTGCCGGCCGGTGCTCCGATGCCGCAGGCTCCTGCTGGGTTGGCGGGACCCGTGAGGGGAGTGGGCGGTCCTTCACAACAGGTAAGGCACATGTTAGCGCTGGCGTCCGCTTGGGCTCCTGACCGATTTTGGTGTTGCTCCCGCAGGTGATGACGCCGCAGGGCCGAGGCACCGTTGCTGCCGCCGCCGCGGGGGCTAGCATCGCAGGGGCTCCCACACAGTATCCGCCCGGACGAGGTGCCCCGCCTCCAATGGGCCGTGGAGCACCGCCTCCTGGTAATCGAAGTATTTTGATTGAGGAAAACGGCCCATAAGTCTTGTGAACAGTCAAGTGTCCTGTCTGTGATTTGCGTCTGTTGTTGTGAGCATTTCGGACTGAAAAGGAGTTGATTTTATCCACAATGTATTTCTTCACTGAATCGGTGATTGGAATTTTATTCTGTCAAGCATTGACCTCAATACGTCCACATTCATTGCGCCCGAATACAATGTCCAATTATTATTTTTGGAGTTAAGCTGTGGATGGTCCTTGTGCGCAGGTATGATGGGTCCCCCCCCTGGCATGCGGCCGCCAATGGGTCCGCCCATGGGAATGCCCCCAGGAAGAGGGGCTCCCATGGGCATGCCCCCCCCAGGCATGAGGCCTCCTCCCCCCGGCATGAGAGGTAAGCACCTCGTCATCCGCGCCGTGGACAATTCCACAAGCGAAATCCATCATATCCTCATCTGTTTTTTTCTGTGGCAGGACCGCCTCCTCCCGGCCTGAGACCGCCCCCACGTCCTTAAAAGACACGCGCACTGTACAAATGTTGCTTTTGTTTTCTTGATGGTTTTGACACTTCGTTTTTTAATAAAGGTGGATGTTTGCCTCGTGCAGAGCAGATTTATTTCGATGGTAACCACTTGATTGATGTTGGCCTACATTTCAAACATTCAAGCAGGTTCTCCGATAATTGAATTGAATAAAACTTTATTGTCAAATGTGCTACAGCACAGATGAAATTTCTTCCCTCTCATCATAAAACAAGAGGAGCCGCTGCAGGTGTCCGCGCCACTATCAAAGAAAATCTTGTGATCTTGTGAAAACACTTGTAGATGTACATTACCGAACATATGCGCCACCTCCTAACTTGTACCGCTCACACAAGAGCAATACTTGCCCTTTCCTCGTTAAATTCAAAATGCTGAAAAAAATGTACACTGGTAAAGAAGTGAATGACTAAAACTTCATGATTAAAAATAAATGTAAAGAGCAGCAAATGCAATTGTCGATAAGGAATACATAAAACTAGAACTAGGTCAAGCTCAAGGTGAACTTTTATTTCAACCAAACAAAAATCACCATATGAAATCTAAAAAAATACAAAGAAAGAAAAGGTGAGTAGGTGAAAATCGGAAGGTCAGAAGCAAAGCTTATTTCTCACAACTGCTGTGCTGTACATGTCACATAAGCCATTGTGTTTAGTTGACATTAAACTACTGGACACTTGAATCTTCTGTGATCGCTTTAAAGCGATGTGAATGAACATTCCACACATCAAGTTTGATACGTAGAAAAAAGGAAACACCCGAAGTACAACACAATACGAACAAAATCCTGCATGAGATTTCATTAGTTGCATATAAGTCAGAGGTAGTATAAAATAATGAGTTCTGTGGAACAGAGGACTCTGAAGGCAAACTGTCAATTCAATAAAATACATTACAATAAAACTTAAAATGTCAAGTAGCAAACTCGAAAAAAAGGAAGTGGGAGAAGTGTCACGTGCACTCTTTACTCGTTTGGCAATCCCCCAAACACGTGACCCAATATAACGATCAGTCACGCGCTTTTCGTCGAGCGGTCATGTGATCCGGAAGCAAAACGCGAAGACGAAGGTAAGACGACACTCGAGCTTGCCTTCTGTGGCACACTTCTTGTCGTTGGCACAAATTGAGCCTCTAATTGTTGTTGGTGTTGTTGTTAGTTGTTGCGCGAGAGTCGCGACGAGCTACTGGGTAGACCTTAGGTCACTTTGCTAACTTTGCTGTCGAACTGGCGGAGAAGTGTCGCCGCCGTTGCCTTCTCCTTTGATGTTTCTCAACTGATACAGTGTTGCAACTTCAACACATTCCAAAAAGTCAAATCATTGAGGGCTTCACCAAAAGATTATTTTGATAATCAATTAATCTGTCCTCTGCATTGTCCCTGAATAGTATTAAATCTCTTTATTCAAATTGACAGTTCAGAAAATGCACAAACAATAAGGAATTATGATTCATTGGCTGGTTTGGTCCGGAACGTGTCAGAAAATGACAAAAATGTTAATCGTCCTATCAAAACAAAAGCAAATATTTTATTTTGATTCAACTTCTAATCCGTACATATTTATGGAGGACTACAGAAACTGATTATTTACTCTTGAGAAGCTGCAACTCAAGAGCATTTTAAAATTTAAAAAAGTAAACGTTTCAGCGCCTATCAAAAATAATTCTCAATTCATTTTGATGATTGGTTAGTTGTTGATCAGTCATTTAATCGTTGCAACGTTACAGTCAGTCAACCACATCGATTGACCGCAAACGTGCGGGTGTTTTCTAATGGTGTAGCTTCCTGTCAGATGGCGGCGGTGGCGCTGTTGTACTTCTTGTTGGCGAGTACAGCGGCGGCGGCCCCGGCCGACGACGAAGTTGTCAACCTTCCCGGGCTTCCCAAGCAGCCCAGCTTCCGGCACTTCTCAGGATACTTGAACGTGGCGGACGGGAAGCATTTGCACTACTGGTGAGCGTACCCGAACCGCAGGCGTATGACACACGTGACGCTGCGTACTCACACTCAGCCGCCCACTTCCTCCCGGCAGGTTCGCGGAGTCTCAGAATTCTCCGGCATCCGACCCGGTCGTGCTGTGGCTCAACGGCGGTCCCGGGTGTAGCTCGCTGGACGGGCTGCTGACGGAGCACGGACCCTTCCTGGTAGGTGGTGACGGCACGTGTGTCAAATTTCGGTCGGTGCCTTGAGGTACCTGCTCCTTGACTTGGGAATGTTGCCAGATGCTAGCCGACTCTTGGAAGAATTTTTGTTGCCTTGACATATGAGCAATATTTGAGAGATGAGAGACAGACTGCGTACTGTTTCAATTGGGCATCTCTGGGTAGCACTCCCTTTTGAAGTCGTTTTGTAACACGGCCGTCTTCTGGCTTGTGCAGGTGGAGGATGACGGCGCCACCCTGAGAGAAAACCCGCACTCCTGGAACAAGGTCACGACCCCTCGTGGATGTCTGGCTTTGCTTGCTTTGCGACCTCGCTCCTCCTACTTGGAATCGCCTCCAGGACTGCACCACAAAGCTTTATTAAACAAACAAAAAAAAAAATTGAGATTCAGTTCCCTGTTTGGTTTGTCGCATTTCAGAAAATTGTCTTATTTTGAAAATTAGCCGGAATCATTACAGAAATCTGAGAATATTTTCTGATGACCATCTGAAATTCTGAGGAATCGGACAACCTGAATTAAAAAAATAAATAAATAAACGATCTAAACAATTATCCCCCCAAAAAAGTGTATTTTGATAATCGATTAGTCGTTGATTAATCATTACACCTCTACAAACCAACATTACACTGTCGTTGTCGTTGCTGATGTGCGTTGTGGCGCTTTCAGATCGCTAACATGCTGTACCTGGAGTCTCCACCCGGGGTGGGCTTCTCATACTCTGATGACGGCGATTACGCCACCAACGACACAGAGGTCAGCAGGGTCACACCACCCGTCCGTCAATCATGGCATCTTGCTCATGGCTTTCATTGTTTTTTTTTTTTTTCCCAACGTGGCGCATCTCAGGTGTCCATGCTCAACTACTTGGCGCTGAAGGAGTTCTTCCGTCTTTTCCCCGAGCTGAGTGCCAACCCGCTTTTCCTGACGGGAGAAAGCTACGGCGGCATTTATCTGCCCACGCTGGCCGAGAGGGTGATGGAGGACGACACCCTCAATCTTCAGGTGAGCCTCACCGGCGGCGGCTTCATGAGGTCATCGGCCGCCGGGTGGCCATTTGAAAGCAAGAGATCATGTCCGCCAATTCATCGGCTTTGCTTTGGGGGAAATGTCTTTCAGCAACTAGGAAATTATATTTGAAGACATCTGTCCGAAGTGTAAAAGGAAGCTAACCCCCCCTGTTGTTGGCGTCGGGTGAAGCCTGAAGAAAAAAACAAAAACAAAACAGCACTTCACAAAACTACATTGAAGCGATTCATGGCAAAAGCCGGAAATTGACTCATTTTGGACCTTGGGGGAAAATTGGCAAAACATGTTAAAAAAAAAACGTTTGCTAAGTACTCATTTTCTTATTTGGAAAAGTGTTGGGCCCGATTGCTTAACTGGCTGTATTTACAGTGGGGAATAGGGACCGGGACGGCCTGCAAATAATGAATATCTGCTTATTATTGAGGCCCACTGAAATGCATTGGCTTAGTTTGAGTTACGATAAGAAGCTTTTGTGCGCTCAGGGCATGGCGGTTGGTAACGGGATGTCCAGCTACGAGCTGAACGACAACTCGCTGGTGTACTTTGCGTACTACCACGGCCTGCTGGGAAGCCGCCTGTGGAGCCGCCTGCAGGCATCGTGCTGCACCCAAGGCAAATGCGACTTCCACCAAAACCCCAATGTCAACTGCTCCGACGCCGTGAGTGTGGCCTATTCTTTCGACCCCCCCCCCACCCCACAACAAACACACAAAC